AATGCAGAAGATACATTGTTGAAACAGAGAAATTGTATAATATTCATATTACAGGAAAACCTTATAAAGAGAGCTCTTTTATTTTTGTTTGTTGAATGAATCTATTCGGTCCCTGCGATCTTCTTCTTCAAGGAATCAATATCCTCAGCCAATTCCTTTCTGCTTGACTGAAAGAAACATGAACATTCATGTCAGATCAGATCATTTGATGCGTTTTACAGATTATAAGAGTTTGTGGCGGTTTTGTTACCTTGAAGAGAAGGTATCTGTAGACGAACCATCCTGTGTATCCAAGACCAACTAGTTCCATAACTTTCGGAAGCTACACACAAACAAGTATCATTCATAGTCAAACTCATTAAACTTTCTCTGATCTTAAGAGGGTTTTGAGAGATTTGTTACCAGAGGAACAGAGTTGATGGCGCCAACAACAATGGAAGATAACCAGACAGCAACAATGGCTCCTCCTCCATATATAAGCACAGTCGACTTGTTCTCAAGACCATCCCACTGCACCAAAAGCCACCAATCAAAAACAACACACAAAGCCAAGAACTTCTGTTTTTTCCGATCACAACAAACATCGGTGGCTCACCTTTTCCTTCAAATCTGTGATAAGTTCGTCGGTGTCAATGGATGTTGAGGTCTCTTCTGAAGAAGCTCTCGTCTTCATCAGTTCAACCTTCTGGAAACCATTCCCTGCAATTGAACCGGAAAATCCAATACTATCAAATTATAAACCTCCAATTTCGGTTTTGAAACTATACCGAACCGACGCATCGCCGAATCTCAATTCCGGTCCGGAATATTATCATTTCAGGCAATTTGCGATAATACATATACAGCTCGGAAAGAGTTGGTCACCTGAAAGTAGCTTCACCGGAACAGTGAAAGAGGATCGGCCAAAAGAGCGAGGAGGAAGATAAGGGACGGCGGAGCAGCGAGCGGATACGGCGGGGACACGTGGAATCATGACTGCCACAGAGGACGAAGCTGCTACTGTCATCGCCATTGAAGCACGCCGATAATTTCTTCTTCTACTTCTCTTCTGCCTACTACTTACTTCTCGTCTTCTTCGCTAAATTTTGCCTCTTTCGATTTTTTTTTCTGCTTGCGCTTTTTACAAAACAAGATTCCGTCTAGCGACACGTGGACGTTCCTCGTGGTCTTATTGGTCGCTACTCTTATCTTTAGAAATCCAACTCAGTGGTGTTTGTAGAGTGCTCAAATCTTGTGGGGTTTAAGGCCTTTTAGGCCCATTGATCTGGGCCTATTATAACCTATCTTAATGATTAATCTCTTCTGTCTCTCTTTCTTTTCAATTTCTAGGTGAGAAAACATGGAAAATTATGCAAACCTTTGATTTTTGTGTCTTAAGATAGTTACGAGAATAATATGAGATTGACCAAAAAGAGGAATTCGAACAAGAAATTTTAAAATACTAATCTTTTTTAATGAAACTAGAAAAGAAATAAATAACAAACCCACTAAAACTGAGTGATGGTACAGCTCTTCCACCCTTATACTTCGCTGGCGCTTTCAACTACTAACCAATACTCCATTTCTCTTGTTATTTAACAAAATAGTTGAGTTTTTTTAATAACTTTAGTTTAATCTTATTTGGTACGTTTTTCTGTAATTAATCTGCTCAATACTGTGTGTTTTCATCTAGAAAGAGTTACCATGAAAAAAATTCACCGTCAGCTATATATATGTGAGCCAATAGATGGGAGAGTTTGAGACAAGGATCATGCATGTAATAACGAAAATATCTTTAAGGAATAAAGAAGAAATTAGCTGAGCTTATAAACAAAGAAATTGTATGATCATTACGTCATCCGCATAAATTACGAATTTTAGCCGACGTCTTCTTTTTATCATCTCCAATCAAAGTTTGATTTAAAGAATTCATTTTATTTTGGGTCAATTAGAACAAAAAAATAAATTAAATTAAAGAAACGAAAAAACATCCACCATTAATACAGCTCAAACCAAACTTTCTCTCCCCTTTTTTCTTACATGTTTGAATATCTAAGTACGGTCTTTTTCTAAATAATTTTAAAAAAAAATCAACCAATACACATTTTAAAAAAGTTCATATTCATGCAGCTGTTCCCATTTTATTATATGTACATGTATATTCCATACTCTCTTCTAAGTGTGTATATTGTGCTTAATTATATTCCCTCATCTCAATCTCAATCTCAATCATGTTTCCAAATCTCAATCATGTTTCCACTTTGCTTCTGTGATCTATCTGGATCACAACTCTCTTTTGATCAAAGATCATCATATATAGCTTTTATTTAATTCCATCGATGAAGATCACCAAAACTCATTTTGGTCTTCGTCGTCGTTCTTGATTTTCTCTGGCAATGGGATCTACAAATCTTGGTCTCATCGTCATCGTCTTCGTCTTCTGCGTCATCTCTAATCTACAAACGATGGTTCACTGCGACAACATTCAAGATTTGGACGATCTGATCCGTTCATACGCGGCACGTGCCACTACTAGAAGAAGACACACAGGTTCGTTATACGAGATTTCACTTCCGTCGAATCTCTCCGACATCAATGCATCGGTTGTTACGGTCCGTAACAGTATGTTCTGGAGAAAAGGAGCAAACGTTAGTGGAATTCACATTCCTACGATGGTTAAAACGACGCCGTACGCTAAGAGAATAGCTTTGGTCTACGAGAGATACGGTGATCACTCTTCATCGGTTTACTTCCGGTTAGCTGATAATTACTCTTTCGTTTCTCCGGTTATTGGATTCAACGCTTACGACGCGACGAACACGAATGATCTCAAAAAATTGAATCTAACCATCAAGAGAGACAAACCAATCTTGATCAAATTCGATTCTCACGTTGATGATCCTCAAATTAGAAGAATCAAATGCATTGCCTTCGGAGATAATGGGTTGTGGAGTTTCAGCAATACGACACGGAATCACGAATGTGCCACTACGAGTTCTCGTGGGCATTACGCGCTTGTAGTACTAAACCAGAATCCCAAACCGGAATCGAAACCGGAGTTGGTGGTTCGGAGGAGGTGGTGGTGGTTTGCTTTAGCCGCGATTGGAGTGTTGGTTATCGTTGTTTTGTTGATCGTTGTTGTGGTGAAGTTAGTGAGGAAGAAGAGGTTAAGAGAGATGGAGAGAGAGTCGGAGAAGAGTGAGATGATCGGAAATGTTTGGATCGGTCGGAGTAGAATGCCGGCGGCTGCGATGGTGAGAACTCAGCCTTGTTTGGAATATAATGAAGAAGATCTTCCTTCTTCTTCTTCGAATATACCTTGATTTTTGTAGTTTTTTATTTTCTGGCTGTGTACAGTGAGTTACATTCAAAGTTCAATTTTGTAATTTTTTCCACGTTAAGTTTGGTATGCTTTTGCACTTCTTCCCGTTTCACTTATGCATGAGTAAACTGCTCGTCGTTTCTGATCTCAGTTCCTCCTTATTTATGGATGAGGCGATTCATCATCAGTGTGTAAATTGGTTTGCTAATAGTTTACTCATGCATAAGTGAATAGTAATTGATGCATGTGTTAGTCAAACAAAAATGTGATATAAATTATGGCACAACAGGATAGAAGATCAATCGTCACGACTCACGTACACTTACAAATATTATAAAATCCGGTGACGCACGAAAGGTGACGAAGAAATGTCACTAGTTAAACTATTTTCTAAATCCAATAAGTTGAGGTGAGGAGAATCAAATGATTAGGAGAACAATCGATCTGTAAAGCAGCATATCACACACTATATATTAAACTACACATATACGATATCTAATTAATCTGGTTTACTACAATATGCTTAGTTGGTGGATGTAGTTTTAAAATCCACATTTAAGTAAGTAACAACTAATGTACTTCTTATATCATTATATTATATTACATACGACGAAATAGGTAACTGAAATCAAACCACATAAAAAATTGAATCAAACCAGGCCGAAATTTAATGAAACCATACCAGAACTGAATACCAAACCATATGTATATACGTGTAGAGAAACCTAAACCTAAACCTAAACCTAAACCTAAATCGTTTGAGGAGGGGGGAGACGGTAATAATGCTGATCGGACCCTACGGTACTGATGAATATAATCGTCAGAGAGCTGCTTCTTGGAAACTTGTAAAGGAATACGGTGTATGTGATTCCTTCATCCTCCTTGCTATTAATTATGAGATTGATTGATCCATCAAGTCTCCGAATTGATCCATTAGAAATCTGTCTTGTTTAGGTGTTCGATATTCCGGGTTCTACGATCGATTTCGAGGAAGTGATATGTAATGAAGGGCGTCCTTGTCCTGTCTTAGTCTTGCTATACGCTAGGATGGGCCTTCATCGCTACAATCTGCTGGAGGTCTAATGAAAGCTCTTGTTTGTTGATTATATCCACATGCTTTAGTTATGATGTAACAACATTCGATTATGCTCTTTCGTTTCTTTCTTCAGGGTACAAAGTTTGAGCTGAGTGGCGTAACGAAATACGTAAAATCAAAGGGTACTTGTGCTTGCACTTACTACATAACTCTGGATGCAATTGATCCAGCTGTTGGCTCCTCGCTTCAAACTTTTCAGACTAAAGTATCAGAGCAAAGTTTTGGCAGATATATTCTCATGTGCAATGTGAGAGTGAGCAAGCCCAAATTGTAGAAAGCCCAAAGACGAGGAAGCCCATCAAGTCCAACATCTCTGTTCACAAGAAGACAAACTCAAAAGCAGAACCAGAAAGTAAGGAGAAGGAGCCGTTGCAGCTGAAGAATAGATTCAATCCCTTATCCTCAATTAACCATAGTTAAGCTTTACAGCTGTAGATTAGGTTAAGGGTTAAGAGACTCTAGAGAGTTCGTATCTCCCCTATATATTAAGCTCATTGTACACTCTTGAAAATCATCCAAGTTTATATCAATAATATTCAGTTTTACCTAAAAGTCTCAGTTTTCTACATGGTATCAGAGCCATTGAAGCTTTAACGAGAAACAATGGCCGATCCAGTCCTTCCCTATCCTTTTCCCAGTAATGTTCATGTCCTAAGTTCGGTAACTATCAAGCTCAATGATAGCAATTACCTGTTGTGGAAGACTCAGTTTGAGTCTCTGTTGTCGAGTCAGAAGCTCATCGGGTTCGTGAATGGTGGCTTAACAGCTCCTCCGGAAACCAGTCCCCTCTACGAGTCATGGTTCTGCACAGACCAGCTGGTCCGTTCGTGGCTCTTCGGTACCTTGTCAGAGGAAGTCCTCGGGTCTGTGCACACTCTCACTACATCTTGCGAGATCTGGCTATCCCTCACTGAGAACTACAATCAGAGCTCCCTTGCTCGTGAGTTTGGCCTTCGTACCAGCCTGCAATGCTTGAAGAAGAAAGATCAGACCTTTATGACTTATTGTCGCGAGTTCAAAGCATTATGTGATGCGTTGAGTGCTATTGGGAAACCTGTTGAAGAATCTATGAAGCTGTTCCAGTTCCTGAATGGTCTCGGTGATGAATATGACCCTGTCGCTACAGTCATCCAAAGTTCCCTCCGTAAGTTTCCCAGACCCACTCTCAATGATGTCATCTCTGAGGTCCAAGCTTATGAAATGAAGCTCCAGAGCCGAGATCAGACTGTGAGGGAGACGGCTCACGTTGCTTACCAGACACAATACACTGGCCAGAACTATGGTCGAGGTCGTGGACGCTTTGGTCAGAACCGTGGTCGTGGCAGCTACTCCACCAGAGGCAGAGGCTTTCCTCAACATCAGAGCTCTCAACCTCCCTCTGGAGACCGTCCCACCTGTCAGATCTGCGGACGAGTTGGTCACACTGCGTTGAAATGTTACAATAGGTTTGATAACAACTATCAAGCCACAGAAACGGCTAAAGCGTTCACCGCTCTTCATGTAGCAGACGACAAGGAGTGGTACCCTGACTCTGGTGCCACGGCACACATCACTTCGAGCACCACGAATCTCCACTCGGCTACACCTTATGAAGGATCAGACACGGTAATGGTCGCTGATGGAGCCTTTCTCCCAATAACACATGTCGGATCCACTGCTCTTGCGTCACCCAATGGTATGATCCCTCTGAACGATGTTTTAGTATGCCCTGCCATAAAAAAGTCTTTGCTGTCAGTCACAAAACTATGCGATGATTATCCCTGTGGTGTTTATTTCGACTCTACTAAGGTGTGTATTATTGACTTACCCACTCAGAAGGTGGTGACAAGGGGTCGAAGGCGTGATAGCCTCTATGTGCTTGAGGATCCAAGCTTTCAAGTGTTCTTCTCCAATCGTCATTGTGCAGCTTCTGAGGCGACGTGGCATCATCGACTTGGACACTCGAACGTGAAGATCCTCCAGCATCTGAAAAACAGCAAGGAAATAGTAATTAATAAGAGCGGATCATCCTCCATCTGTGAGCCTTGCCAGATGGGGAAGAGCAATAGGCTTCAGTTTTTTAGTTCAGATTCTCGTGTTTTGCAACCTTTAGCCAAGATCCATTGTGATCTATGGGGTCCGGCACCTTTTGTATCTACTCAAGGTTTTAAATACTATGCAGTTTTTGTTGATGATTTCTCAAGATATGCGTGGTTTTATCCGTTGAAAACAAAGAGTGCTTTTACATCGGTGTTCATCTCGTTTCAAAAAATGGTGGAGAATCAATTCGAAGACAAGATTAAGGTTTTTCAAAGTGATGGAGGTGGTGAATTTATGAGTCTGGAGTTCAAGAAATACCTGGTGGACTCGGGGATAAGACATCAAGTCTCGTGTCCTTACACTCCTGAGCAAAACGGAGTCGCAGAGCGGAAGCATAGACACATAGTTGAGCTGGGTCTCTCGATGCTATTTCATAGTCAAGTGCCTTTGCATCACTGGGTCGAAGCGTTTGCAGCAGCCGTGTTTGTTAGCAACATGCTTCCGTCTTCGGTCCTAGACAATCAAAGCCCACATGAGTGCTTACTTAAAACTAAGCCCGACTATACTATGCTACGAGTTTTTGGAGCCACATGTTATCCGTACCTTAGACCAGTTGCAGAACACAAGTTTGACCCGACGTCTCTGCAATGTGTGTTCCTCGGGTACAGCTCTCAGTACAAGGGCTACAGATGTCTCTATCCGCCAACTGGAAAAGTCTACATCTCTCGCCATGTGATCTTTGATGAAGAAAGTTTCCCTTTCAAGGGTCAATACCGGTCTCTACAACCCACATACGAGACTCCTCTGCTTCACGCTTGGCAAGTTGGCCATCCAAATACAACCACAGAAGCACCGGAGACAAGGATCACTCGCATTCTGGTCCCTCCATCACCAGCAGAGACAATCCAGGTTCCTGAACATGAAGGAGAAGAGTTTGGGAATCAATTGGAAGATGTTGAAGTAGAAGATGCGGTTTTCATACAACCAGCTAATCAACACTCAATGACGACAAGAGCTAAGGCGGGAATTCACAAACCTAACACGAGATACGCTCTTGTTGCTCTAAAGATGATTCCACCAATTCCTAAGGACATCCATGAAGCTCTTAGGCACCCTGGTTGGAATCTCGCAGCTATGGACGAAATGACCACTGTTCATATGCTTAACACCTACACGTTGGTTCCACCTACAGAAGAGATGAACATCTTAGGATGCAGATGGGTTTTTACGACAAAGATGAAACCAGAGGGAGAGCTCGACAAACTGAAAGCACGAATCGTAGCTAAAGGATATGATCAAGAAGAGGGTGTTGATTACTTGGAAACATATAGTCCTGTAGTAAGGACAGCTACTATACGGATGATTCTGGACGTGGCGACGGCTAAAGACTGGAAACTGAAGCAGTTGGATGTTTCCAGTGCCTTCCTTCATGGCGAACTCAAAGAACCAGTTTACATGATACAACCTCCTGGATTTGAAGACCCTGCAAGACCACATTATGTCTGTAAGTTGACAAAAGCCCTGTATGGACTCAAGCAAGCTCCAAGAGCGTGGTTTGATACATTCAGCAACTACCTGATTGACTTTGGATTTGTCTGCAGTAAATCTGATCCCTCTTTGTTCACATATCGCAAAGACGGAAGATCTCTGGTTCTCTTGCTGTATGTGGATAACATCTTGTTGACAGGTAGTGATGAGACTCTGGTTCAGGATCTCCTTGTCTCCCTGAACAAGAGATTCTCTATGAAAGACCTTGGTCATCCCAAGTACTTCTTGGGAGTTGAGATCCAGTCATACAAAGGAGGGTTGTTTCTTCATCAATCTGCCTATGCAAGAGATATTCTTCATGCTGCGGCTATGACGGATTACAATCCAATGCCCACGCCATTACCCCAGAACATCTATAATTTGAACTCGGAATTGTTCTCTGAGCCTACATACTTCAGGAGTCTTGCGGGAAAACTTCAGTACCTGACAATCACAAGGCCAGATATTCAGTTTGCAGTCAATTTTGTGTGTCAGAGAATGCATCAACCTACAATATCAGATTTTGGACTTCTAAAACGAATCCTAAGGTACATTAAAGGCACGATCAGCTATGGATTACACATTCGCAAGGATCAAGATATGAGTCTCACTGCATTTTGTGATAGTGACTATGGTGGATGCAAAGAAACAAGGAGATCTACTATTGGTTTCTCTACGATGCTTGGGTCAAATCTAATCTCATGGTCCGCCAAAAGGCAACAGACAGTTTCCAAATCATCAACGGAAGCTGAATATAGGGCTCTTCCAGCAGCAGCTCAAGAAATTACCTGGCTCTCGGCGCTCCTCAGAGATCTAGGGATCCCGCAATCTAAATCTACACTTCTCCGGTGTGATAATCTCTCAGCGGTTTACCTAAGCGCCAATCCAGCCCTCCATAGCCGTTCGAAGCATTTCGACACTGATTGGCATTACATCTGTGAGCAAGTAGCGCTGGGACTAATTGAAACGAAGCACATTCCGGCCACCGTTCAGCTTGCGGACATCTTCACCAAGCCTTTGCCGAAAAAACCGTTCGTTGATCTCAGAACCAAACTCGGTGTCGGAACGAGTCCCACCACGAGTTTGCGGGGGGATGAGAGTGAGCAAGCCCAAATTGTAGAAAGCCCAAAGACGAGGAAGCCCATCAAGTCCAGCATCTCTGTTCACAAGAAGACAAACTCAAAAGCAGAACCAGAAAGTAAGGAGAAGGAGCCGTTGCAGCTGAAGAATAGATTCAATCCCTTATCCTCAATTAACCATAGTTAAGCTTTACAACTGTAGATTAGGTTAAGGGTTAAGAGACTCTAGAGAGTTCGTATCTCCCCTATATATTAAGCTCATTGTACACTCTTGAAAATCATCGAAGTTTATATCAATAATATTCAATTTTACCTAAAAGTCTCAGTTTTCTACACAATGTTGCCAGAATTCGAGGTAAAACACTAACTGATATATTTGGTTTGTTCATTTTGTTTATAAAGGAAATCATTTCTCTAAACTTAATTGCTGATTTAGGGGATACAAGCAGTGGCAGAGGAGCGTCTTTTGTAGATAGTAGCTTGCCTGAGTGGCCGCATGAGAATCCTTTTCAAAAATATTACCTCGTAAGTAAAGATTAAGATTAAGGCACACACGAATATTGGTCTTGTTAGTTAATCCAACAAAGTAGTGATGCATGTATATGTTTTGGTTCAGGTGAAGGAATCAGAGCTGCAAGAAAATGACTGGATTCGTCTGTATATTGAACTTGCTGTTGCCATAGTTAAGAACAGGAAACGTAAGGCTTTTGGTCCTCCCAAGTTGGAGATTGTGAAGGTGGCCATGGATGCGAATGGTGAGGGACTCAATGCCTTAAATGCGATTTTCTACGTACGGTACAAGGACTTGAACGAGGCTGAGATTGGTAAGGCTTTGGACCGCTTTGCTATAGTTAGAAGACGCTTCCATGAGGATACGCAATGCTTCAGTCTCGTTGGTCCAAGTTACACAAGATATGGACTCTCAAACGAAAGCTCTTCACCTCTAGGTACCTGTGAACTCGAGAGGCAGGAGGAACCATATTGCTATCCGTACATACACAATTGATTATTACTCGATGTCAAAAAAAAAAAGAAGACAATTGATTATTACTATGATACTATTCGTTATAGATAATAATAGATTGAGCCAATTCTTTCGGTTAATTTGCGTAGATGATTTTTTTCATATCCAACAAATAAATACTTTTGGTGTTAATATCACATGGCTAGGCAACGTATACATAATATTACAAGTAATGTCCATTTCAATGGTTACTAACTATATTTGGCGGGCTTTTCACTTTAAGATCACAGGACTAACTGTTTAAAGATCTTTGTAAAGGACCCATCATCTTGAATCACCCTACAAGCTCCTTCTTTCATTTTCTTCATCTTATTCCTCACTCTTTTGCCTTCTTCACCTTCCATGTGTACTTTCTCTTCTTGACCTTCCATTAATCCATTTACCACTCTAGTTACCTCTTCTCTTCTCACCACCCCATCGTCTCCCGCATGCGCCCTAAGTGCCACGTGGATATCTTCGGCCAACAAAAACGCATTCATCTTTTGCTCAGCGTATAATGGCCATGTTATGAGTAGAACGCCGATAAGATTATTAGTTTCCTTGCAGAATAATTAGCATTAATTTGTTGACTATTTTTGTCTATACTTTCCATTGTTGAATTCCATCCGCAATGAGTTAAAAATCCTTCTGTGGATGGATGAGCTAAAATTTGGGCTTGTGGACCCCAAGAAGGGATCACAAAGACAAAACCACTACCTTTTGTTCCTTCTAAAAATTCTTGTGGTAAAAAGGTTAATGGATTGATTTGGCTATGTGAATCGAAATAAGACGAATCACCGGCTCCATTATGACCCAAAGAAAACGTTCTTTACTATCCGCAAGACCAAGAGCAAGTTCATTGAGCTGCTGACATGAGAGTGACCGCCACTACCAAAAGACATATACAAAAACGAACCGAGCGTAACATTCAGAATCTTCCATCTTGCCACCTATTCGCTTATATCAATGTTAATTAACGGTCCAATAGGAGGATAAAACGGGAGTTTATCAAGACTCGGTTCTTGCAAGGCTTTAATTATAACATTTGGTTCTAGCTGGAATAAGGTATTCACAAGAATCCACGGGAGTCGAACTTGGATTATAAGGTGTCAATAGATTATTTTTACCATTTTTCTAGTGAACTTTTGATGTTTTAGGTACAAAATTTGTTTTTATAACAAATGATATGGTGTCAACTGACCCCGTATCCACTAACGTGGATTCGCCACTGTATTGTGCCATTATATTTGTTTAGAGCTAAAAAAAATTATTGTTAAAATAGGGTTATCTTTTTTGATAATAGTTTTGATCATTTGAAGTTTTGAACATTGACAATAACGTTTTTAAGTTATCATAAAATTGGCTCAACTTTACGCTATAAAACTACGTAAATTTTATTATGTAGATTAGTTAGATAACGAAACTTTAAGTTATTTTAAAATTTGAACCAATCATATGAAAGCATGTGTGATTTAGTTTTTAAAATTGTTTAAAAGTATTTGAAAAATTTAATGTAAAAAAATTATTAAAAATTCTTCGAAGTGCTCTCAGATTGCACAAAAAGGTGGTGTAAATTTTCTTTTACTTTCCCATATTGCATCTGTTCATTCTGAAATTTTAATTGTAGTTCACGTTCACCAGCAATATTCTAGGTGAAACAATAATATTCATCAACAATTTACATTTTGGTCTAAAAAAAAAAAATTCAATTAATTGAGTAGTTCATTCCATTAAAGATCAACATTATATATGGATGATATTAACTTCGGAGAAACTGGCCAATTAGAAAATAGTTTTACACTACCTCATAACTTTTAATCAGTTCATTTACCATTAAATCATATTTTAATTTGTCATTGTCATCGGTCCACGTGAATCGTATGTAGACCGTCCATAATATAATACGATGCATCGGCACTAGCCGATGATCATGCTCTCTTCATCAATATCAATGTGATACTTGATATTTAGTGTTTTTGCTTCTTTTTTTTTTCGTTTTTGAGAAACAAATGTATAAATTATTGGACTTTATAAAAATTCGTTTTCAAAATATTCAAAGGTGAATTAAATATGTAACTATACATATTGGTCATTTGGTTGCACAACCATGCATATATTGTCAAAATTTAACCTGATATTCGCATGTAAAGATTTTGTGTCTTAGTAGGAACTGTTTCACTTTCAACATGTATACATATTTTTTTTTTCGTTCTTTTTTCTTTTCATTTTTTTCTTTCTGTTTTAATGTTTTATTCGTAGTTTGTATTAGTGTTATCTTAAAATGCTAACTACTCTGTTTAGGAAATCGATTTGCTCAAAATGTATAACTCTTTTTCTTGCCAAATCAAATCGTTTTTATTTTTATTTAATCGTACTATCTTTGTTAAGTTGTTATGAATGTTGCTCAACTCTCTGGGGTAATTTTGTTTTTGTTTTATCTCTTTGTTGTGCCATATATTTTTTTTCTGCTAAAAAAACAAAATATTTTTGAAACTAGAAAATAAGATTGGTACTGATTACTGAATCTATACACAAATTACATAGTTTTGTTAAACAGAACGAAAAAAGCAAAACGAACGAGATATTGGTTTGTGAAGGGCCCAACCGAAGCCCAAATAATGTGCCGGCCGGATTGGATAAGGGGTTCTTTCATATATACACACGCGAAACCTAAATCGACGAAAAGCATCATTGCCTTAAATCGACAAACCTAAACCTAAATCGTTTGAGGAGGGAGAGACGATAATAATGCTGATCGGACCCTACGGTAGTGATGAATATAATCGCCAGAGGGATGCCTCTTGGAAACTTGTGAAGAAATACGGTGTATGTGATTCTTTCATCCTCCTTGCTTTTAATTATGAGATTGATTGATCCATTCCATTATGTTTTGTGGTGTTAATATCACATGGTTAGGCACGTATACATAATATTACAAGTAATGTCCATTTCAATGGTTACTAACTATATTCGGCGGGATTTTCACTTTAAGATCACAAGACTAACTGTTTAAAGATCTTTGTAAAGGACCCATCATCTTGCATCACCCTACAAGCTCCTTCTTTCATTTTCTTCATCTTCTTCCTCACTCTTTTACCTTCTTCACCTTCCATTTGCCCTTTACCTTTTTCACCTTCCATTAATCCATTCACCACTCTAGCTACCTCTTCTCTTCTCACTACCCCATCGTCTCCCGCACGTGCCCTAAGTGCCACGTGGATATCTTCAGCCAACAAAACCGCATTCATCTTTTGCTCAGCGTATAATGGCCATGCTATGAGTGGAACGCCGTTTACTATACTTTCCATTGTTGAATTCCATCCACAATGGGTCAAAAATCCTCCTGTGGATGGATGAGCTAATATTTGGGCTTGTGGACCCCAAGAAGGGATCACAAAACCTCTACCTTTTGTTCCTTCTAAAAATTCTTGTGGTAAAAATGTTAATGGATTGGTTTGGCTATGTGAGTCGAAATAAGACGAATCAGCGGCGCCACTCGGACTCCTTATGACCCAAAGAAACCGTTCTTTACTATCCACAAGACCAAGAGCAAGTTCATTGAGCTGCTCAGATGAGAGTGTACCACCACTACCAAAGGACACATACAAAACCGAACCGAGAGGTTGGTTATCCAACCACTTTAAACATTCAGACTCTTCCATCTGGTCGTCACCCTCTCGCTTACCAACGTTAATCAACGGTCCAATAGGATAAACTGGTGGTTTATCAAGACCCGGTTCTGGTTCTTGCAAGGCCTTTATAGCATTTGGCTCTAGCTCGAAGAAGGTATTCACAAGAATCCCTTTGGCTTCCTTGTACCTCTTGGTGTTGTGTAGAAGCCACTTGTATCCGTCTGTTTTCCGGTCTTGAGTCGGGTCAATTAAATCTTTCCCGTGTAGCGGTACACATCCGGGGAGCTTAACCGGTTCGGTTAAATCTCTGAACTCACACGACACCGTTTCATCAAGTTTAGGCAAATGGAGAAAAAACGACAAAACGTTGGCCGTTGACGGGTAGAAAATAAACGGCGAAACGTGGAACTCGACGGCGACGTCGAAAGCGTCTGTACCCAACAGATCGACCACGAGCGCCGTCGGCAAACGATCTTCCGCTGCGAACGAGTCGAAGACCTTTCGGAGCTCCGGGTTTGAACGAGTCACGGTGAGCGAAATCCGAGTTGCGATGCAAGACGGGAGATCAGTGAGATCGGCGGGAGGGAGGAAGACGGAGGAGATTGAAGAAGGGAGAGAATCGAGGACATTTCTTTGAGATTTTGACGGTGGACCTTCGCCAGGAACGACCAAAGTAACGGCGAACCCGTGATGGTAAACGATTCGTTTAGCTAACTCGACCAATGGGATGAGGTGACCCATTCCCGGAATCGGTAACATGGCAACGTGAGGCGCTTTTGATCCATCCATTGATGCAAAGTTTCAATAATTAAACTTTTTTTTTTCTTCTTTGGTTGTAGATTGTGATTATCAACTTTTTCTCTTGTGGTAGAGGTTTTCCCTAGTGCTTGTTGTGTTCTTAAAACTATTTGTAAGACTAAAAATATTATGGTTAAAATAAGGTTATCTAATTTGATAATAGACTTTATCATTTGAAAAATAATCAAATTAAGAAGATGCTAAAATATTATGGTTAAAATGGGGTTATCTAATTTGATAATAGACTTTAGCATTTGAACAGTAATATATTAAGAAGATCCTAAAATATTATGGCATTCGCATGCAACGTGGCGTTCCCTTCTTCCAACACCGGCCGCATTTTTTCAGCAGCTTTTCAACCTCCTCTGCTATGTTCACTTGCCTTTTTCTACTAAAACTCTCTCGTCGTCATTCACCATTTACAATGAAAACGTTAATCGAGCGGTTTGTAAAAGAATTGGGTTTTGAGATCAAACCATTGCCGAATGTATCAAAATCGAATTAAACCAGGCCGAAACTGAATGAAACAACACCAGAACCGAATACCAAACCATATTTGTATATACGTGTGAGAAACGTAACCTAAATCGACGAAAAGCATCATCGCCTTAAATTGACAAACCTAAACCTTAAGTCGCTTGAGGAGGGAGACGATAAATCGATACTAATGCCGCTGATCGCAGGATATCAGAGGAAAGCACATAATCGTCGGATGAGGGCCACTAGGAAACTTGAGGAGAAATACGCTGTATGCCTGTATCTTATTCTCTTTCATCTTCCGTACTTTTTAAGAGATTGATCCATCATGTCTCCGAATTGATCCACTAAAATCTATCTGCTTATTAATGGGAAGAGATATGTAATGAATAGCGTCCTTGTCCTGTCTTAATCTTGCTGTACGCTAAGATGGGCCTTCAGCGCTACAATTTGCTGCAGGTCAAATGAAAGCTCTTCTTTGTTCTTTATATCCACATGCTTTAGTTATGATGTAACATGACTTTGAGAGGACAAGGACTATATAGATGCTAAGGTAATATTGTTCTGCTCAACCTCGCTCAACATTCTAAAATTAGAGATCAATTCCTTGCATTTCCAGGTGATTAATGGGTATCATTTCGTTTGATAAAATCTCTGATTTAGATTATAGCTTTACTTTGATGTTTGTCTCCTTTGTGTGTTAGATTGATTTCAAAACAAGAATGATTTAGATGTTTGTTGATATTCACTAAATATGTTTTATTTTAATCAAAGCTTGAGCTGTCTAGAAATGGGTGCACACACACATGATCAAACATGTCATGTTGGGAACTCCAATGGAGAGGAACCTTTTTTGGATCAAGATGGATCGGAAGAGGAAGATGAATCAGACGAAGATGATGGTCTAAAATACTTTGAAATGACCCTAGACAGGAATCATGCACTCAGTTTTCAGCCTGAAGGTTGATGCTAAACATTGTTGCTCTGCTAATAACATACTCAAAAAATTGATGTATGCAAAAATCTATGGATTACCAAGAGAGAAAAAATGCATGTTATTGCCACAGCGAGTCAAAACCACTTATTGAGAGATGATGAGAGACTACTTATTGTATAAAGTAGTTGTATTATTTACTGACGAATTTGCATGAAATCGGTACAAATCTGACAAAGAAAGAAACGTTACCAAATAACTATCACATTCATTAACGTCAACAATATCTATGGATTCTCTTGACCACAACCTTCAAAATAATGTATAACACGTTGTCATAATAATTTTGATTGGTAATGTGAGTTATCATTTATTTAACTTGTATTAATGTATCAATAACTCAGAAATTATACAAATTATGATTCAAACAAAAACTTTAAAATTAAAGTTTGGGTATATAATGAATTATGGTTGAGTTGATTTACCTTTTTGAATCATGTTATTTGTAAAAGTCAAACATTAGTATAGCAATGAAACCATACCAGAACTGGATACCTAAAAAATCGAAATGAAATCATGTTTGTAGGACCGAAATGTAATATGATTTTACGGTCCAACTCCCATTGACCAGAACTGAAATCAAACCATTGATCATGTTTTGATCTACGGTAAAACATGATCAAACCACTTCGACACTTATTTCGGTCCTACTCCCATTGTGATCAAACCATAACTTAACTGAAATCAAACCGAAATTAACCAAACCATATCAAAATCGAATCAAACCAAGCCGAAATTGAACGAAACCAAACCATATTTATATATACGTGCGAGAAACGTAACCTAAATCTATATGGTTTGGTTTATTCGATTAGGAGAACAATCGAATCTGTAAAGCATATTACACAATTCAAAACGGATACATATATTAATTATATGATTTGTGCTTGGTGGGTAGATAGTTTGAAAATTCACATTTAAACAATTGATAAGTACTATATTTCGTATATCATAATTAAGACGGACATAGGTAACTGAGTGTGAACGGAGGATCTGATATCGAACCGTTGAGAATGGCCATCGATATGCGGTGGTTTGCAGCCTCCGTCGTGTGAATTCCGTCCCAACTTACGTAATTGTGCGGATCACGGCAAGCTTTGGCCGTCATAGAAGCATTTCCAATCAATTTGGAGTTGCCGCAAAACAATTTCTGATCGAAATTGTACGGATGTCCACCGTACCCACAACAAGCTTTAATTCCATGTTTCAAACCTTTCATATGTATAACAAAAAAAAGGTTTAGTTAAGCTAATTACGACAAAATGGATTATATATAATCGGCTAAGCCTAACAAAAGCAAACCGGTAATGACATTTCGTACCGTAGGATTTGGGGTGTTGAAAGAGGTCAAGCAATATCTTGTGAGTGTCTAAGTAAATGATGGTGGCGTTTTTAAGCTCGGTTCTGGTATCGGACAATGACTTTTTCAATAACGCATTGTAATATTCGACGGCTTTGTTTACGGGAATAAGACATCCAAATTTGTCTAAATCCGAAACGGTATGATTATAACCGGTTAAAATTGCCGGATAACATCCAACCGGTGCTAAATTCAATACCAAAAATGTCCGACCACCTATTCCATATATTTCCTACATTCAGAACAAAATCTTTATAAGCAAAATACAAATTAGCGGATAACAACCAAAATTTTATTGAAACAACCAATAGTCTATTCCTCTAAACCAAAAACCCATAGCAGTTGGTACCTTAATCGTTCCAGCAATTTGGCCTATGACTTGTGGAATATCCTGCTTCACACCATCCACTCCAATGCTAGCCAAATTCGATGTGAAATCGTTTTGGCCAATATAAAAAGTATATAGCGATTTTCGGAAGACATCGTTAGAAGGTAAGATAGGCAATCCTGTAAGTAAGTATTTACATCATTTTCTTTGCTAATTTCATCATATTATTTATTTATCTAGGGTTTAAAATATACCTGGTGGGCCCGAGGAATGAGACTCGTCGACTTTAACCTTGAAATGTTTCATCTGGTTCAGTTGAATAGCGAGTGAGAAAGGGCTGATTCCGGAGACAAATAAGGACGTCTTTGGCAAAAGAGCCGTAGATGCTAACGTCGCAAAGTTTGTGCCGTGTCGAAAATCAGATCCAATAGATTGCAAATACGGGCTTAGGAAAGGCATTCCAAGAGATTCCGCTACAAATTATAAAAATCAACATTATGTTTAGTACTAGTGTATATAGTGTTGTCAAGGAGCTATGGTTTTAGACTTCAGCTGGATAAGATCAAATTTTAAGGGAAGAATGACGTGAACATTTTTCTGTATTAAAAAAAAAAATGAAAAAACAAAGTTATTCTTTGAGAGTAGTCTTGAATGTAGATACAAATATGTAATATTACCCAAAAAATCAATGATGAGACGGCCGTCTGAAGCACGACCGGCTGGTTTCTTGAAATAAGTCATTCCCCATGGACCTGATTGAGCTGGAAAAGCAGCCCAAAATCCTCCTGTGTCAGAGTTCGAGTCTCCAAAGTTGAAAATTGCTTTGAATTCACATTTCGAATTAACTTTACAACAAGAGAACACCACAGTGATCAAGAATAAAAGAGAGAAAGCTAGTTTTCTTTGTAGAATGGAACCCATTTCTTTCACTGTGAACCAAATGTTATGTTGTGTCAGGTGAGAGAGGATGAGAGATATATGGTGCTATATGACTTTTGTACTTGTCTGGTCCGTGACTCAATGTGGGGGTGTGTGTACCTTATTTTGTAATTTTGAGAAGTATTTCCAGCCCAATACGAGATAAATAAAGTCTCTTTTCTTAATTTTGTTCATCCCAAAGCAACTGATCTTCTTAATTATCAAAAAAAAAAAAAAAAAAAAAAAAAAAAAATATCAGTCTAATTTTCATCATTTTTCAAAGCAACCGATCCTCTTAATTTTGGATAAATATGCAGGGAAAGTTACGCTGAGGTTCATTATGAATTTGGAATTAATCAGATGTCATGTCACGTCATGTATGCAACAACCAAAGTCTTACGATAATCCATATAGTAAGAAAATTGCAAAGCTAAGAATCATGGTCAACATTATTTCTTTGGTCATGAATTGATTAGTGGATGGATATATGCTAAAATACATTAGGAATAAGAGGAAAGTCTGGAAATAAGATGTGGCGAGTCTAAACAATTTATTGTTAGAGATGAAGAATTTTACAAGATAAATGAAGTCTTTTTGTATGAGACTTTGGAGTTAGCTCTGGAGGATTAGTATGCTTTAAAGGATGGAATAAACACTGGAGTTTGGTAGACGATGTTAAAATGCTTTACGATGGTCCGGCAATATTATGCGGTAAATATGACGGTCTGCATGCATGCAGTAGATACATAGCCGTTAGTTTTGAGATTATGCTGACTTAAAATGAATTATGATTGATTTACCCACTACAACATACACGGCAATTGACGTCAGTTTTTTATGGCTTTAGCGACACTTAAAAACTGACGTGAACATATAAGCGTCGGTTTGAAAAGCGTCTTTTGGAGAAATTTCAAAACTACATTTTGAGGTGCAAATTTTCAAAAATACATATTTATGGTGTTTATTTTCAAAACTACACTTTTTTCATGGAGTAAAAGAACTCTAAATCCTAAAATATAAATCCAAAATCCTAAAATCTAATATTGAACCCTTAAATCTAAACCCTAAAATCCAAAATCTAAACTCTAATCTAGGATTAGCGAACCCAAACATATATATTAAAATTAAAAAAAGATGTATTTTTGAAAATTTTCACACTATAGATGTAATTTTGAAAATTTGCACCCCGTATTTCATAAAATTTCTCTTTATTTCGTCCGACGTTAAATATTCTAATGTCACTTAAAAAAGCGACGTCTACTATAACGTCGGAATATTTGCGTCGGTTTAAGTGGACTTAACGACAGTTTTAATGTGACTTTACATTAAGCATATTTTGTTTACGTCAATTATAAAACCGACGTATAGCACATTAATTAAAAAAAAAATCAAATGATCAATAATCCATAAAAATAAATTCAATTATTCGAACCATACAAATGTCACTGAAATGATTATATGAAAAAAAAATACAACATTTTTCTTCTGTCTACGTATCTATATATATATTGCTGTTCACAATGTTTCTCTGTATACTCCTATTCAAAAGATTTCAAATTGCTTCTTTTACGGTTTTACCTGAAATGAGATGCCAGTTTCCAAATATACAATTAGTATCCAATATTACAATTTCAACTATACATTGACGATATCACCATGAAAGAAATTATAATCATACCTTAGATCTTGGTGTTGTCTCTGTTTCAAAAGCATCTAGACTTTATAAGTGAAGAAAAGAACTTAGCATTGTAAAAAGTACATTAGATGTTGCATGTTTAAGAATGTTTAGCATTATGTTTCCATCTATTCCACTTGACTCATTCACCTGTAAAAAAGCAATCTTTACGTATAAGTTCAGGTCCAAAAACTTGAGCAATAGCATCATTACTCAAGGATATTTGGCGCGGAAGATTCATTATGTCCTTAAGCTTCTCCTATAAAAATCAATTCCACGTGAATAGCTAATACAATATCAGGAAAAAGCAGAGCTCTAATCATCTGAAGAACAATAAAAACTAACAATGTATCTAGAACCATGATATGAAATTCAAGAGCAACAACAGGTCAACAACCCAAAACTATCCATCAGACCATAACTATTAGCATCAAACTATCTCAATAAACATAGTTTTTGATTCTCTAAAGACAGAAAATTCAATGGTGAAGTATCAGAGATAATCATGAGAAACTAACCAAACATAGTTTTGCTTCTTCGCAAATCATACTTCCATCTGATCTCGTGCGTGACGCAATAAAAAAATTCCCCTTGACTTGGTTCAACGCCACTCTCTTCTTCCTGAACCATATGAAAAAGTCAAGACTAACAAAAATCCACATTGCAATCTGGGAATAAGAACTCTTTATCTACCATTGACTAACTAAACTTACCATCTCATAAGTTTTTTGCGGAACTCTATTTTTCATAAATTACGCTAAACTTACCATCTCACAACATTTTGCTGGTGTTTTAAGTTCAAGACCTGCAACACACACTCACACAGTTATTACCAATTTGAGCTCTGAGCTGTTGACCTTTCCTGCTTTTGATCAATTTAGCGACCATAATAAATCTTATGTGAATCAATGCACTGACATACGCAAACAGAACACTGGAATCAAGAGAAACGCTACTTTACGGTGAATTGCTAATTCACTATGAAGTCAAACTATAGAATAAGCATAGGCAAACCTACATCTTGAGTTTTCTCTTTGAAAGTTGCACTGGAAAAGCTAAAGTGGAGTCAATAACTATAACACACAAGTTCGAAATCGATGTCTCTTGCATAAGATAGGACCTAATGACCAATTCCTCAACACATACATCAGAAAGCGCACAGGGAGAGGATGAAATGGGCTGGAACTGAGATTGAGATTGAGAAATCGATGTCTATGCATCAAACTCGAGTTCAATTGCACATAGACCCTATATTACCAATTCATTGTTTCCGAAATCCCAAATTTCTATGCTTAATCCAAAATTACGCTATAGAAGAGAAATATTACCTTGTAGAAAAAGGTCAAGAAGGAATGAGGGAACGATAATTCTCTCCCCCGCATTGCAAACTCGAGAAATCTGCTTTCGCTGCCTCCGGCCTCGAATCCTAAACCAAAAATAGGATTTCAACAATATTGAAGGTTAGATGAAGATGAAATAGTAACGAATCTCACACCAAACATCAAAAATCAATGCAAGGAACCCAAAAATTTATAGGTATAAACCAAAATTGCGTTTTTGAGCAGATAAGTACAAAAAGTTTAAGAACGAATCATGGAAGCACGATTCTCTCCCATGGCAATAGCTCGATACAGAGATCTAGATTTTAGATCTGCTTCTCCTTCTCTGAGCTTGAATCCGTACAGAGATTGGGACGAAGAAGCAATCGGAATCTCGTAAAGTTCCGATAAAGGAAGAAATTAGAAGCAAATCGGATTAGCTAACCGGCGCTTGTGGCCCGGTGGTAAATGACCCTCAGCTGAGGTATCCGCCATCTGGGTTCGAGTCCCGACCACAACGGATTTAACATCCTTTCCATTGGGGGGTGCTGGACCCCACTTATGAGGATAGTCGGGAATGTGGCTGCCCGGATACTAGAGTTATCAAAAAAAAGAAAAAAAAAAAAAAAAAATCGGATTAGCTCGTAATTGTTTTTGATGATTTTTTTATTTACTAATTATCATAAATAATTTTTTTATTTATAGAGCCTTATCTAATGACGCCAGAATTAATTAATATTTTCGTTGGTTTCATAAGTGACACCAAAAGCCTTATTATCAAAACAAATTACGTCGGTTTAGTAATCGACTTTAATAAATCGACGTTATCCAGCGTATCTCTTGTAGTGACCATTTTGAATTATATCTTTTTAAAAATTGAGAACTCAAAAATAATTCAGCACCATGGAAAATCTCATGCATTACAAGTTTTTCGTTTTTTTTCTTATAGAAAAGTTGACATATTAACTAACTCTTTTGTTAGTAACAAATCATTAATTTATGGTAAAATATCTTTGTATATTTTCTTGTTTCTAATAAATCCATGTTACAAACAAAGTCATGTTTCATTACGTGATGATCCTTAGTTTAAAGTACACCTGGCGGATTTTATTTACTTCCTCTTTTAGTTACCTTCTGTAATCGGTCGGTATTGAATCTTCAAGTCGGATTTATGATTAACCTGAATCCAACGTGGTGAATCTGAGTAAATTTTCGAGAGAAAAATATATTAGCCGGCGTCGAATCCCACGTTGCCTGTGGGGACCACAACGGTATTCCCTGATTTGATGGCACACGTCAGCATCAAAACCACTAACGGCCGACACAAGACAGTAGATCGTAGTGGGGACCACTCCTCAGTCTTGTGGTAAAAATAAAAATGTCAGTCATCATCGATTTGGTTAAAAAAGTCTTGAAGGGTTAAAAAATAAAGATGCGTGATTAGGTAGGTAGTCCACGTTTTCGTCGTCCGTGGATCTCATTGAACTATACATTATAGTTTAATCCTCTTCAATTTTAAAAAACGGAAAGAGTATCATCACCACGTCAGACTATGTAGTCATCTACGGTGAAGATTAAAGCGACGTGTACCAATCAGTTTTTAATGAATAAGGAAATCATCCAGCGCAGATCTAGAATAGCCAGCTCAGCGTATACGCCTACTTTACAAAGCCTCATAGATGCAGACACGTGTACGGTGACGTGGGCATCATCAGCCTTGGCGCTCCCTCTTCTCTCTCTCTCTTTTCTTCTTCTCCTTCCTCTCTTCCTCCTCTGTACCGAACTCTTGTTCTACAGAGAGAATCCATTCTACGACTGAGAGATATAGAGGTGAGGAAGCGAAGCGAAGCTCATACTCGAATTGTAACTGTTGAAACCAATTTGATTTTGCTTTTCTTTGCTCACGAAACTCCAGGTACGTTTTGGATTTGCCACATAGTTTTGGTTTGGTATCTTTAATCGAATCTCGGAATTTTGTTCAATAGTGATTCTCTATGAACGCTGAGTTTTCTCGAGAAAATTTGAGAGGGTGAAGGAAAGTTGAGTAGTTGACGATTTTGACTTTGGAAAAGTCCGAGAAACTCGCGTCAAATTAGAATTCGTATTCTTACTGGTAGATTCAGTGATGCGAAAATTCATCATTACTCGGATCTCTCTCAGTTTCTTCGTTTTTTAATCTATCATTTGATGACCAAAATTGCAAGATCTAAGAGTAATTAAACACTGTTCCTCTAGATTTTTATGTTTTCCACATGAATTAACGAAAGATCTGATCATGCGTATGTGTTGTTAATTTACTTCTTCAGTGTTTCGCTTCCCCTGCATCGAGAGATGGGTAGCGACGAAGAAGGAAAATCCACAAAGTCTGATAAGCCATCGCAAGCTGCTCCTGTAAATGTAAGTCACCTGAATAATTGGAAATTGATTTGGCTTACTCACACTGATTTGTGAATGAGAATCAACGGTTTATTCTTTCCTTTGTATATTATAAATGCAGGAGCAGAGCAATGTTCATGTGTATCATCATGACTGGGCTGCTATGCAGCAGGTGATTTGCTTTTTAGCCTTACTGTTTGTTAATTGTGTGTGGATGTGTTCACTCTTCACTATCCCAACATTTGATTATGTGTGATTTAGCTCGAATTCTCATGATTTGTAGGCATATTATGGCCCTAGAGTTGGTATGCCTCAATATTACAACTCAAATGTGGCAAGTGGTCATGCTCCACCACCTTACATGTGGGCGCCTCCATCGGTACTTACTTAAACTTGTTGAATGGTTATATGCTTTGAGTATATTTCATCTTAGAATGTTTTGGACTGAGTATGATTTTCTCTCTTGATGATTTCAAGCCAATGATGGCTCCTTATGGGACACCATATTCAGCATTTTGCCCTCCTGGTGGAGTTTATGCTCATCCTCCTGGTGTTCAAATGGTAATCATTCCTTCTACTTTATCAAACAAATGTTCAAATCTTTATGAGTAGATCAGCTTTTACTGATTCATGTGTTTCCGTCCAAACCAGGGCTCACAATCACAAGGTCCTGTTTCTCAAGGCACACCCGTTGTAAGTCATTGTCTTTTGATTTTTGTTTTCTGTGTGAATGGTTGCTAGACGATGTGATGTGATATGAATATGAGAATGTTTTTCAGGTTGCAACTCCTTTGAACATGGATGCTCCAGCTAACTCACCTGGAAATACGGATCAGGGGTTCATGAAAAAGTTGAAAGAATTCGATGGACTTGCAATGTCAATTAGCAATACGAAAGTTGGGAGTGCTGAACATAGCAGTGAACCTAGGAATTCACAGAGGTTTGTCAAACTAGCTGTAAATTTTCCAAATACAAAGAGACCTGGATCATTGTCTTTCTTGTGCTCTCTGATCTAACGAGGTTTTGATATCACTAGCTCCGAGAATGATGATTCTAGCAATGGTAGTGATGGTAATACAACTGGGGTATGGACTCCTCCTTTCTTCTCTGAACTAAGTTTTAGTTACTCATTTTTTGGTCTGTTTTTATTTATATCCGTCTGTTTCAACCACAGGGAGAACAGTCCAGGAGGAAAAGAAGCCGAGAAGGATCGCCAACCACAGGTATTTCTTCCTCGCCCTACATTTGTATCCTGAGAAAGTACACAACCCAAGTATTAATGTGCTTTAATGTTTATAACAATCTAAAGCTAATGGCTACTAAGTCTTTCTTGTTCTTGACAGATGGAAAGCCTTCTTCTCAAACTAGCCTTCCTCTTAGAGATGAAAATGATAAACCCGCAGCAACCATGGTGACGCCTGTTATGTCCACAGCAATGGGTTTCCCACAGCCATTCCATGGAGCGCCCAATGAAGTCTGGGTAAAGTTGTTTACATCATTCTTGCGCCTCTTGTTAGAATTCATATATCTGCAACATCATCATCCTCTAGTGGAATTCTTTCATCGTGCTCACTTATACATGTAATGGAAATTGTGAAACCTGTGAGCTGTAGTAACTCAGGTGTGACTTTTTGTTAATCTGCAGAATGATAAAGAGGTTAAACGAGAGAAGAGAAAACAGTCAAACCGAGAATCTGCTAGAAGGTCGAGACTGAGGAAGCAGGTATTTGCTACGCAAATTTGTAACTAAAGACTAATGATTGAAGCTAATATAACTCAGTTTCTTGTGTTGTTTATCATAGGCTGAAAATGAAGAACTCTCTGTGAAAGTTGACGCATTAGTAGCTGAGAACACTGTGCTTAGGTCCAAGCTAAGCAAGCTAAACGATGAGTCTGGGAAACTACGGCTGGAGAACGAAGCTTTATTGGTAACACTCTACTCATTTCATATATCACACATTTTGAACCAAAAATTATAATTGTCATAATAACGTAAGTTACATTCGTCTTTAGGATCAACTAAAAGCGGCGCAGACGCAAGCAACTGGGAAAACAGAGAACCTCATCTCTCGAGTTGATAAGAACAACTCGAAATCAGGTAGTAAGAATGTGGAACATCAATTGTTAAACGTAAGTCTGAGAACCGATTCTGTCGCGGCTAGCTGACTTTGGCGGAGTACGTAGTGAGAGAACCCAGTTTATTTTCCTTCTTCTTGGGTGTGATTGTAACTTTAAAGAGATTTTTTTTCTTAGATTTGTAGCTCTCTGCATTATTGTGAGCAGAAACTAATGTAATATCATTTAACCAGAGAGATTCTGTGTGGTCTCTGATCGTGCGACCATTTGATAGGTTTTAGTTATATAAGCGAATGGATAGAGAGATAAGGGGAGGCGTAATTTGATATTAATACAAGAGAAAAAAAAAGGACTTGGTGTTTGAGAAATATTAATACAAGAGAAAAAAAGGGACCTAAACTCAAATACCAAGTCCAAATATTGCCGTTGGTTTTCTATTTTTTAAAATATAATATAAACATTGAGCAAGTTAGTTGATAACTTCATATTCCAGAGAGCCCAACGGACATGAAATATTTTTTTACAAATGAAGGACATGAAATATTTAGGCTCGGTGTAAAAACAAAACTAAAAGTTCAACATACCAAAATTTATAAATAACTCAAACGGTCAAAATATTAACAAAACGTATACGATTACGATTAGCTTACGGTCAAAATATTAAAATGTTACCATTTGATCTGATAACACCGTAATTCAATTTCGTATGTGACAACACTCTCGCGAATCGCAACACTGAAGTCACGTGCAGCCGGAGTTCTATCAGCCGTACGATTAAAATTTCAATAAATGTCTAGGATCTCGACGATCGGTTACAAAGAGGACACGAGCCTCGATTAAGCCACATCTCTGCAAAAAGTGTGTCCACATGGGATAAACGCCGAGCCTTTCTTCCTTTCCACACGCAACACACCAAATCATTACCTCTAATTGTCGACGCCGTTAATCTATCCGTTTCCCTTCTTTTGACGACGACTCTATCCGCCGTTTACTTCAGCAATCTCATCAACAATACTTTTAACGACGTCAAACTCCCATATGCAGTTTCCTCCGTTGGGTCTCTTCTGTAAATGTCTCTGCGCCGCTAACGCCGTAGCGGGGTTCATACCTGGATTTAACGGACCCGCTAGCATACGATTCGTTTGCATCCTAGCCGTTCATTAAGAGTCCGTTTCCTTAAACTACAAAAAAAAATTGAATCGTAGATCTAATTAGATTTAGTGGAGTAAATATGGGATTATTAGGCGGCCAATCACGTCTAACCCGTCATCGATCCTGGTCAAAGTATCGTTGACCGTCGATTAATCATATTAAACTAATGGTGGTGATTAAATCTTCTGCAAGTTGGTGAAATACTCGAGAGTTTATAAATAGAGAGTGAATAATCCTTTATTATGGGTAATTAAAACATTGTTATCCGCCGCCGGAAACTTAAACAGAAAGTACCAAAATGTTATCGGAAAGAATCAACTCGTCGCCGCCGTCAAATGAACCGGAAGCTCCGATATCGTGCCGACGGAAAACGAATCGGAAAGTTCCAAAGTCGCACCGCCGGGAATGGAGTCGGAAAGCGCCAAAGTCATAGAGGGAAGATCCAAAGTCAGCATGCTCTTGAATGCTTTGGTTTTCACAATGTGCGTTTCGATCTACTCGGAGGGATTCGCTACAAGTGTAGAGATGCGGCTAGCTCTCACTGATCTCTATAAGGCAAACGAGACGGTGATCTTCGTCAACACTTTCCAAAACAGATTCTGCGTGGGCGAGATTTTTCACGTCTCTACCTTCATCGGCTACTATTTTATCCCAGCGGATCTAACGAGAGTGGCCGTGATCGCGGATGGAGTTTCCATCGCCGTCGGAAGCACAGTACTGGTCGTTCTCGCCGCTTTCCTGGACGCCGGCCTCGCTTACTATGTCACCTTCCTCTTTTCCATCGCGGTTGGAGTCTACGGCATAATCTTCACATATGGGAGACTCGACGATATTCAATGCGCTGATGATGCGAAGACCAAACCGGCGGATAAAGCACCGACGATCAATTCTGACGCGGCGTCTCTCATGGATGTTGAATTAGTGGATATGTCTCGAGGGGTTGATGAGTATTGCCGCCCAATTCTGACGACAAGGTACTGGGTGGCGTTTAAGATCAACATAACGCGGTCGATGGAATGGAAAACGAGAACAGTGAGTGACGGCGGCGCGTATTTCTTAACCTTTTGTTTTTATTTTTATTTTATTGTTTTGTTTGTGTCATCATCATCCTCGTCTCGTAGTATCACCACCGTAGTTCTTTTTTAGGTGTCTCTATCTGTCCCCACCGTAGATTCTCGCCGGAATTTACATTCTCCGTATTGTTGTTATTGTTAGCCGGCATTGTACGTGGCTTTCTTTTTTTTTAATTATAATTAACGGTAAATTCGAATAATATCAAGAGTATGCCACGTAGCTAAGTATTAAGAAATCTGATTGAAATTGGGTCCCACTGTCGAGGCATTGTTAGCCGGGAGAGTGGCATTTCTGTAATTATCTCGACAAGGAAGCCTTAAAAACAAACTAAAGGGAATCGAAAACCATATGACTAATAATAATTGGGAGTTGGGATGGACGTTTTATATATGGTGGCCTTTAGTTTCTGAAATTATAATTTGCACTCATATGAATCTTTATATTATTAATTGAGAAGTACATTCTAATGTTTGGATACAAGAATTAGAGAAACATCTATTTGGATAGAAGAATAAATGGAAACAAAAGTTGTTTGGATATAAGAATAAGAGAAAAATCTATTTGGATAGAAGAATAAATGGAAAAAATTGTTTGGATACAAGAATAATAACTTAAAATAAACCGATGGTTTAGAAAACTTCCGTTTTCCATCTCTTAAAAATCTGCAAAAAAAAAACTTAACATAATCTAACGATAATTCCAAATCAATAGAATATGCTTTTTGGATTTTCGGGTTTTTATAGACAAGTTCGGGTTTGGGTGAAAATCTGAGACATAATTTTATAGAGATATATATAGAGATATAGAAATTGTTCGGGTTTCTTTGAAAATTTCTGTTCGGGTTAGGTTCAATTTTTTTTTTCAGTTTAGGGTTTTCCGGATTTTTTAGATTTCTGGTTTTCGGGTTTAGATATATTAAAAAAATTGAGTATTTTAAAATTTTGATTAGGTATTGGGGTCGGGTTCCGGGTGAAAAAGTTTCCAGATTTTTTTTGTTCAGTCAGGGTTTTCGGGATTTTTTTGATTTCGGATTTTCATGTTTAGACCTATTAAAAAAGTTTGGGTTTTTAAATTTTTTGATTAGGGTTTTTTGTCGGGTTCGGATTTAGGGTTTAAATTTTCTACACAAAACAACAACGTCACACCGCACAAACGTGCGGGTACTCTACTAGTAGTATAGTAGATTAGTAGTACGTGTAATTCCTTTGCACCCATTTGCACTTAATTTACATGTAAAAACGAAAACAATTAATCAAGCTTACAGTTCACAAACATAACGTTCAACCCCAAAACTCACATACAAAAAATGTTATATCGAAAAAAGGAAGAAATAAGAATGACAAGTATAAATTGGAGGACAGGACATTCACCATCGGAGATGTGTTAATGCATACGCGGCGGCGATTGATTTTCCCCCAAACTAATTTGGAAACCCATACTCACATTTTAGGGTTTATTTTATTACCAAAAATCGAGTTATAGTGTAGTGACTAATTCGGTTGATTAGTTGATATAAACTTCCCTTTTATAGAAACATTTAATGAACTCAAATTCGGAAAGTTATAATTATTATTACCTCCTAATAAGGATCAATTTTAAATCGGAAAACAAACTACTAAAAAGAGTTTAATTAATATTAAAAAAATGTATTAACGATGATAATATTAATAGCAGTGCTTACTGACTTACTCTCTATGATCTAAGCTAAAAATGCTTAAGCTTTCCTTATTGCTCTTTCCCTGCAAAATGACGACACTTTCTCCTCTACACGACGGAAGACGACAAGCCGTTTGCGTTTTCACGGCCGTGGTGGAGATGGTGTTCTAAACCATTTCCACCGCCAACGCCATCATCGTCGGCGTTGTTATTGTTGTTCTCCCCGCCCGAAACCGCGATGCCGTTAGGATCCTCTGACGGTGGTGTCGCCGGAGAATTTGTGGTCGCGGCCGTTGTTGAAGGTGTTTTTGTTGTTGTGCATCCAGACCTTGAGGACGCCTTTATCGACTCCGATCTCGCGGTAGAAATCGCGTACCTCGTCCTCGTAGCGCTTCTGAATCTTCAATCTGATTCGATCGGCGAATTCGTGCATCGTCTCCTTCTGAATTTCGTCCTGAATCGCTTCCGAGAACATGGCGTATGGTGGTGAGCGGAGAGATTGTTGGCGGCGAAGTTGAGATCTGAGAACGGCAAGTTGTTTTATTGGTACCGGAGAGAGGGAGGAGCATGTAAGGGTAGGAGACTGGCGGCGGAGAAGAGGAATTGGGACTGCGAGGGAGAGGAGGAGCTGGTGAGGCTGGTACTCGATGGCGGCGGCGGTGGAAGATGGAGGGAGAGCGGAGGCACGGCAGAAGTGAGGGAGGAATTGTCGGGGTCGTCAGGGCGGTGGTTGGCAACCGCAGGGGGCACACTAAACACCATCACCATCGGAGTGGTGTTTAAATATTTAACACAAGCAAAATATTCGCCCAATTATATTCGTTTTCGAAATGGCTACGATTACTCCTACCGGCTACCGCAAAACCTTAACCCTCCTCCGTGATTTCGTCCTTAGTCCTTAGCTCATCGCACAAACCGATGGTTCTGTTCCGAACCACAACACCTGACCATTTCGAAAATGGAGAATGGAACACCGGTGGGTACTGCAACAGAACGATGCCGTTTAAACAAGACGAGGCCAAATTGAAAATCATTGATGATATGATGCGTGATGATGAGCTTGATGGCCATCCGGGACCGTGTTTGAGGTCCAATGTTTTCGTATCCAAAGATATCCATATATTGGGCCTTTTGAGGGTCCAATAAGATCAATTAAGACGATGTCGTTTTGTAGTATTAGGTGAATGGACAGTTAAAAAACAACAAGCCGACGCTGCCTTGCCATTTGTTTGGATAGGCCTATACTATATAGTATAGTGAGGGGGATCGTTTGTCGTCAGTCGTCGTCACTAATGACATTCATATGCCATACGACAAACATTCGTTAACTTCCGTATCTTAACTTTATTATTTAACTCGCTGGGATATATAAAGAGAATGAATACTATGAATGGAGTATTATATTGGTATTCATACCTTAAGTCCTTAACCAAAATAAATAAATAAAATGGAGTATATTATGCATTAGATTATAATAATATATCTGTTTAAAAGTTGTATTGATGCGACAGCTTTATAGACTCTTTTGAGTGCAAAATCGTACAACAAATGACTCTGTTTCCCTGCGAATCTCAAGATATTAACAAATATTTCTTGTGAGTTTTATCTAAGCTAGATTAGATTAGGAGTTATCTCTAAATATTTACACACTTCCATAATCTAAACTAGATTAGATTAGGAGTTATCTCTAAATATTTGCACACAGCCATAATCTAAACCAAATATTTATTCACATACATATAAACGAATCCTTATACTGATAGGATTCTTAAATAGATTACTAGCTCACGATTCCACATAAGTAAAACCCATCCATGCCCATAAGTTCTTGTTACATTATAGTAAAGAGAGCTGATTAGTTTTTTGATTTTATTTTTTCAAGTTTATAAATTCCTGATTTCTTTTAAATTAGGACTTTCACCCAAAAAAAAGTTTATATATATATATATATATATATATATATATATATCCGGTTATGGGCAAAGTATCAAACACAAGTTTGTGAGAGAAGAGTTAATTAAGTCGTCTTCAATACATGGATGATCAAAAGCGTACACCAAGTTCAACGTTTGAGGCTGGTAACAAATCGGAGAAAGATTCATCAGAAAACTTCTTAACACGGTAAATATAGATTTATTTATGTGTGTGTTTTGAAACTTGATTCATCCGATAGATTCAATAAAAACTTCTTTTTAGGTCGATATTATGAGGTACAACTAAATAAGTTTTTTTTTGTTTCTAATCTTCTTCTTAGGTTTGGTCTCATGGAGACAGTGAACAAGCCTCCATATGTCTTATCCGAGACAGAGCTAAGCAATTTGATCGAGCCAAAAGAAGCGGGCGAGAGTGAGGTATCAATCAAGAGAATAATAGCTGGTGTGAAAAAGGAGACCAATACAATAGCAGCTGCTCTGAAAAAGAAGAACAATGTCCAAGAATTTGAGGTATCAATTAAGAGAATAATGGCTGAGCTGGAGAGGGAGAACAAGATAGCAATAGCTGGTCTGAAAAAGATGACTGATGTCCAAGAATTTAAGGCATCAACCAAGAGAATAATAGCTGGTGTGAATATGGAGATCAATATACTAAAAGACCGTGTGAAAAAGGAGACGGAGAATGCTACTTGTGATGCTAGAGACTGGCTCAAGGGTGTTTGTTCACTCTTGGAAAGTAAGTTTTGGTAAGGAAAAAATAGACTAAACAAAAAAAATACATTTTATCACACAGTTTCGGTTGTCCAAAGTTTCTTAGATTAGATGGATAGCTGGAATTGAATGATCCCGGCACTTACTTTGCTATTATTTTTTGCATTTTCTTTTTCTTAAAAAATTTAACGTTTGGTAAAGAAAATTTTACTTTGATCCCTACGCGCGTAATCCACAAGTCTTATTCATCATCCACACAAGATCAATTGAGCACAGAGCGTAAGTTGAAGCATTACCGTTAATCCATGGTAGCTCCGTCACCGTCTTGCCACAAAAACTCCTCTCTCCTCCGCCTTTTCAATCTGACAAAGCTGCTTCACTTGTCTGAAATTGTTCAAATTTATTTCAATTAAAACAGATATATTCACATTAAAAATCATTTCATTTGTAAGAGATCCAATACTCTGTGGTCAAACAAAATACCCCTTATAAGATTGATGGCGAAAGTCAAGTTCAGGTCTGAGTCGTTGATTAAATCTGTGAATTCCAAGGCATATATCAAATTTCGATTTCTGTGGGTTCTTCTTTTCCTCCTGGACTGTTCTCCCTGTGGTTGAAACAGACGGGTGTAAATAAAGACCGACCAAAAAATGAGTAACTAAAACTTAGTTCAGAGAAGAGAAGAAAGGAGGAGTCCATACCCCAGTTGTATATACCCCAGTTGTATTACCATCACTCCCATTGCTAGAATCATCATTCTCGGAGCTGGTGATATCAAAACCTCGTTAGATTCTATCTAAGAATAGAGAGCACAAGAAAAATAGTGATCCAGGTCTCTTTGAATTAGGAAATTTACAGCTAGTTTGACAAACCTCTGAGAATTCCTAGGTTCACTGCTATGTTCAGCACTCCCAACTTTAGTATTGCTAATTGACATTGCAAGTCCATCGAATTCTTATAACTTTTTCATGAACCCCTGATCCGTGTTTCCAGGTGAGTTAGCTGGAGCTTCCATGTTCAAAGGAGTTGCAACCTAAAAAAAAAATTCTCATATTCATATCACATGTTCTCATGTTCAAAGCTAAGCATCTGATGGACTCTGATTGTGCGACCATTTGATAGGTTTTAGTTATATAAGCGAATGGATAGAGAGATAAGGGGAGGCGTAATTTGATGGTCTTTCTTTCGTTTCTTAGTCGCTTGTGTATTATTCTTCTTTGATTAAAAACACTTTTCGTGTGTGGATTCTTCTAGTTTTACATATTGAAAGATATAGTCATTATTCTTTGTCGACGTGCTTCCCTTACTCGATAAACATGAGTCATCACGACAGTGTGTCTTTATGCTTTGACAGATAATCACTAACACATACTCAAATTACTAAAAATGCAAATGACTTATAGAGGTTCTTGGCAAGTATATATTAGTTTGGATTTGGGTTTTCCATTCAAAAATTTCGAGCTATATGTGTAAATAAATTATGGAGTTCAAGAACACATATATACACACACAAAATGGGGTCACCATCCTAATTCCAAGTACCTAAACTCAATACCAAGTCCAAATATTGCCGTTGGTTTTCTATTTTTTTAAATATAATAAAAACATTGAGGTTAGTTGATATAACTTCATATTCCAGAGAGTCCAACGGCACAATTATCAGTAAGTGGCCAAAGTGTCGGGGGCAAATCTTTTGTCTTTGTTGGTAGGACTACATACAAAGATTTATATTTTATTGACGAAACCATAACATTTTATTATATGCTTAAAAATATCAAAATGGAAGACTATTCTAATTTAGCCTCAAACTCCATTTCGTAAACTACACTTTCATCTTCATATACATGGAGAAGAATAACGATCACAGAAATCCTACAAATCCTACCGGCGACGAAGAAATGGCGGCGGAGAAGCTGCTTAAACCGGTTCTGCAGAAACCACCAGGCTATCGTGAACTTCACGCAACGCCGGAAACTCCAAATGCCTCGAATATTCGTCGCCGTCCGCAAAAACATATGATCCCGGCGTCGTTTTACCCGGAGAAGAAGAAACATTGGAGTCGTTGCCGCGTCTTTTTCTGCTGCGTCTGCATCACCGTGGCGATCGTCATCCTTCTCCTAATCCTCACCGTCTCCGTCTTCTTCCTTTGGTACAGCCCGAGACTCCCCGTCGTACGTCTCACCTCCTTCCGCGTCAGCAGTTTCATTTTTACCGGTGGAAAGTCCAGAGACGGGTTGTCGCAAATGACGGCGGAGGCCACGGCGAAACTCGAATTCAGAAATCCTAACGGAAAGCTACGGTACTATTATGGAGACACTGACGTGGCGGTGGCCGTAGGAGATGGAGATTTTGAGACGAGTTTAGGGTCAACGAAAGTCAAAGGGTTTGTGGAGAAACCAGGGAATCGGACGGTTGTGATCGTTCCGATCAAAGTGAAGAAACAACAGGTGGATGATCCGACGGTGAAGAGGCTTCGAGCGGAGATGAAGAGTAAGAAGTTGGTGGTGAAAGTGACAGGTAAGACGAAGCTGGGATTGGCTGTGGGAAGGCGTAAGATTGTTAAGGTGGGGGTTAGTCTCATATGCGGTGGCGTGAAACTACAAACGCTTGATTCGCAGATGACAAAATGCACCATCACAATGCTTAAATGGTATGTTAAGATGTTCAATTTTTAATGGTTTAATTTAAAGTAAATAAACTTGATTTTAGCGTTTTTTGCTATACTAATGTATATGATTTAAATGCAGGATTAAATTGCACTCATGAGCTATGATTGATGGACATGTCTTTTTTTGCTCGGTATTCAAGTAATCAAGTGTGAGGATAACCTGAAGTTGCAGTTTATGTAAGATCAATATATCTTATTTTCTTTTATTTTTTTTATGTTCCCTTTTATTTTTGTTATCATGTAATTATGATCCAATTTTAATATTCATCTATTTTATCATTTTAGATCTTATACGAAACCAGCTCGGACATCAATATATGTTGGGCATATGTAGTTTGTGATCAAATTGATAAGTTCGTCTAGGTTATTACATAGCTTAGACAAAGAATTTGTGCCACTTTCTCTAATATTTTTTACTCATCCCCTTTCCCACCCCTTTCTTTAATCCAAAGGTAGATACAAAATTCGTACAAAACAAAAAAATGAAACATTATCATATCTTTAGCACATTCGTTAGCGTTAACAATATCCATGAGTTTTCTCAAACACAACCTTCAAAAAAAATGTTAACGCTTAAACCGTATGAAACAAAAGAGTTTTTTTGTGCTTATACCAATAGGACATCATGTTAGCTAAATAAAGAAAAATATATAATAAAGTTTTGATTCTAAAGATTAAAAACTACAAATGTTATCTCTAAAGTTCATGATTTCATTTTTTTGGTTAAACCCATGATGTCATGTCTTTTTGGTTAAACTCATGATGTCTCATTTCTGTAAATCTATTTACTTAGTACTTACCACGAATATCTTGAAATTTATGATATTGAGAAGTGAAAAAAATTATGTTTATTCAATAACTTATACACAACACACTCACACGAAAGAATTTTGTCTTACTTGATACAAATTCGTGAAAAAACTACAAGAAACCGGAAATTATTCAACTCAACTAAACCATAAGTTGCCAATAAGCGTTATAACAATAGTGTGATAACTTAATGCCAAAACGACCAACACTGTAACACAAGCACAAACTCCAGTACCAAGTGTGTTTTTGATATAGTTGGCCACTGACTTATTTGATTCAGCAGAAAAAAACAGAAACCCAATCTATAAGCAGGAAAATAAAAAAGATAAAAAAAAAAGTTTGGCTAAAGCCCTATTAGCCTTTATCCTTCCACGGATGCTGAAAGGAGATAAATAAAGCCCCCTAAATTCTGAACTTCTCTTCTGTCTCCTCGGCTACAAAAATAGAAGTGTACTGCTCTCTTCTTGAAAGATATCAAATGCCTCAGTCTGATATCCTGAATTCCACTCCTAATACGTCTTTCACCATCTCGTATGTCACAAACGCAATCGCAATCGATGGTACAACCTGTTAAGAAACATTTAACTTTGTTGAGAAATATGTTCATTCAATAAGAAAAAAAAAAAAGGGTTCTTGTTATGTAACAAACCTTCACAGAGTTGGGGACCAAGCCCTTGTACAATGCTCCAAAGCCTTCATGACGAACAGTTTTTTTGAAAGCATCAATCATACCAGTGTATTCAAGTGGAGCCTTGCTTATCCCGTCGCCTGTAACAACAGAGGAAGCACCTTTCCACCCAACCATTTGCATTCTCCTACGAATCACATCGAGTGGATAAGCAATTGTTTGACCAACTGTTCCAGCCACAGCACCACACGAGAGTCTCGTTATAACGGTCAGCTCATTGTTCTCTACTAGACCGAATGGATTGTCTTTGACTAGCCAGTCCTTTAGAGACTCATAGACTGCAAAGTTCAATCCCACATACGGAACCTGCATTTATAAGAAAGCTCTCATTAAACAGTGGATTTGTAGTTTTGTGTTCAATTGAGAGAAAACAAAAAAAAAAGAGACTCACAACTCCAATCACTGACGGAAGCCAACCACGGTACAAGGCTCGTGGACCTTCCTGCCTCAGGACAGTTGCCAAAGCATGGGCAATTCCTCTATATTGATAAGGAGAGTTTGCAGTCTGTACACATATCCATAGTTGCAGGGTTACAAAGATGACCAATAAGGCTCCAGCAATTACAACTTTGGGTTAGAAAGAGTTACCTGGACAGTTAGCCTTCCACGAACCATATCCATCGGGTATGTTGCAGACATAGCTATTATTCCAGCAGTTGCACCAGCTCCAAGCCGTAACAAAGGAGTGAGTTGGGCATTTTCTGCAGAAACGGTAAAACCCCTATGAACCATTGAATCTTATAAGCAGATAATATCGCACCGTTGATGCAAAAGGCTTGTGATATGAGTTCAACGTAACTCCAAAGGCTAAAGTGATAGGTAATAGTACTACCAATGCACAGATTCTTCAACAGGGAATAATAAAAATCTTATGCTGAAATCAACTTACCATTTCCTGTCTGCTGACGATACATGTACAATATGTACCTACAAGATAGAGAGAGAGACAAAAAGAGAACGATTAAACAAAAATTCTATTCAGTGAAATCAAAAGAAACAGAGTATGACTGTATAAAGAAGTTCACAAGTCTTACTTTGAAGCTTGCTCATAGCTGAAAAATTTCACAGCCGAGTTTGGAACAATACGAGCACAGTTGGTACCATTTCCTTTGAACAGTCCACGAAGGCCTTCAGTTCTCCAAATATACTTCAACCCTTGAACTGTCCCACTGTACTTTATGTTATGCGGATTCTGGACCTATACATGGACAATGAAAAAAAAGATAAGTCTCCAATCATTTATACGATCCAAAACAACAGGAATCAAATGAAGAAGAAAACCTGAAGTAATATCTTCATCCTTTCCAAAGGTGCAACTGCAGTTCGTGACCTAACAAAAGATGCATCTCCGTTCAGATATCAACACAAGAACCAAAATGTGCGCATTGAATGTAACACAGGGATTGAAAGATTTAGTGACTAACTGTAACAGGAGTCGACTAAATCAAGTAAAGATGGACTTTTTTCTACTTCTGTGCCTTTATTAACCATTCTAATCCTTCAGACATAGATATGTATCTACATTTGACTACTTCAACTACGATTTCAATCTCAAGAAAAACAAAAGTTAAGCGACTGATCTACTACACTTATAGTCAGCAACCAGATCAATTCCAATAAAGTTGTGATTTTTCAATAACACTGATTGTAAAAGAGGAAAAAATCTATGAATTCTCAATCTAATTTTGGCGTTATCAAACAAATTAGAAGAACCAATGATTAGTCCCTACTCAACATTTCGAGAGATCTTTCATTTTTACCCCAAATTCCTCCCAAAACAAAAAAAAAAAAGAAAAAAAAGGAGATAAGCGACTCACACTCCACCAGCGACGCCACCGGCGAAGAGAGACTTGCAGATGCTGAGGACAGCATAACTCGGAGCTTTGACTCCTTCCCTCGCTAACTTCGCTTCCTCCGCCAGATTAACGATCGTCGAAACAGCTGCCGATTCGGTCCTCTTCACATCTTCTGATGCCATCGATTAATCACCACCAACAGAAAATCGCAATCACTCTAATAGCCACACACACACCAATTGGATTACGATCCCTAAGATTTCTGGAGAGGTTTACACAACTTTCGATCTCTCAACGACGACCGAAACCCTAACAGAAATCTCCGTTTTAGGATTAGCGAGAGGAGAGATCAAATCACTCGTCGAAATGAAATCTACTCCTTTTTCTGTCCCGGCGGCGATAATAAAAGCCAAAAGAACAACCTACTGATTAAGCCTGGGTCATGACGACGCCGTTTTGAACGTTGCGGGAATTTTGCATTTCAGTCTCCGATTAACTATGTTTTGTAAAAAGAGCCCCCATCTATGAAAAATGCAAAACAATTCTTCATTTAGTTCAAAAATTCGGTTAAGTTTAGTCATAATTATGTTTGTTTCCCCATAACATAAAGTTATATAAAGAGGTATAAACTAACTTTTTAATCAAATGATGAGTTATTTTGTAATATTCCGTAACATGTAAGAATTATATGCAGAAAATGGTTAGTCTAAGGATGTTTTTGCAAAATTACCTTTTTGTTGTGGTACCAGGTGTTATCCTACGCACGTCACTGAGCGCGTAAGATATACTCTCCTCATATATGTACGCCACGTGGACGTGGTGATGATACTACTGTGCTACAGTGTTAGTGCTACTTCTGCTCACAGTCTAATCTATTTGGTCACTTAGAAGAAAAAAGTAGTTTCCGAACCACATAAATTTTGGGCTCATTAAAGGGAAAATAATCATAGCAAAGATTCTGACTAGGAGGCTCCAACCGTTACTGGCCGATATGATCACTCCTCATCAGTCAGCTTTTGCCCCGGGAAGAGCCATAGCCGATAATGTCTTGATTACCCATGAAATCCTCCATTACCTGCGTCATTCAGGAGCCACAAAAAGATGTTTCATGGCCATTAAAACCGACATGAGTAAAGCATACGATAGGATTGAATGGAGCTTCCTCGGCGCTGTTCTGAAGAGACTGGGGTTTCACGAGAAATAGACCTCCTGGATTATGAAGTGCGTTTGCTCAGTGACTTACTCTTTCCTCCTTAATGGAGCTCCCCAAGTTTCAGTGATCCCTACAAGAGGACTTCGCCAAGGTGACCCTCTATCGCCGTATCTGTTTATCCTATGCACCGAAGTGCTCTCGGGTTTATGTAATCGGGCACAAGCTAGAGGGGATCTTCCCGGAATCAAAGTAGCACGACAAAGTCCAGCAATCAACCACCTGTTATTCGCTGATGATACTATGTTCTTTTGTAAAGCGAATGCAGCGTGTTGTGAAACTCTCTCTAAGATTCTCTCTCGATATGAAGCTGCTTCAGGTCAGTGTATCAGTGTTCAGAAGTCTGCGATTACTTTCTCAGCAAAGACATCGTTAGAAGTAAAACAAGAGGTGAAAAGACTTATGAAGATCCCCAATGAGGGTGGAGTGGGTAAGTATCTGGGTCTTCCCGAACACTTTGGCAGAAAAAAACGAGATATATTCTCCTCTATTGTAGATCGGATCAGATTAAAGGCGAATTGTTGGTCTAGTGGTTTCCTCTCATCTGCCGGAAAACAAGTGCTCCTCCAAGCGGTTCTCTCGGCCACTCCAACCTATATTATGTCGTGCTTTAAGCTGCCCCTATCCCTCTGCAAGAGAATTCAATCGGCCTTAACCCGGTTCTGGTGGGATGAAAAACCTGATAAGAGAAAGATTTGCTGGGTCTCCTGGGATAAGCTCACGATCCCAAAAAACGCGGGAGGATTGGGGTTTCGTGAGATAGAAAGATTCAATGATGCAATGCTAGCAAAGATAGGATGGAGAATTCTTCAAGCTCCTGAGTCATTATTAGCTCGTATTCTTTTGGGCAAGTATTGCCATTCGTCCTCCTTTATGGAGTGTCAGAGTCCAGCTACGGCTTCTCATGGGTGGCGAAGTATCTTGGCGGGAAGAGATATTCTGAAACAAGGCTTAGGTTGGAAGGTGGGTAACGGAGAGAAGATCAAAGTCTGGCTTGATCCTTGGTTGTCTTCTTCTTCTCCATCCATACCAGTGGGACCAGCTCCCGTAAATGCAGATTCGATTTATGTAAAGGATCTCATGCTTCCGAATGGAGGCTGGAATCTTAAAGCAATTCGAGAGCAAATCCCTCACCTTGAAGGCTCTATTAGGCGCATCATCATTGGCAAGACAACCTCCCCCGATTCTCTGGTCTGATTGCCGGAAAAATCAGGTATCTACTCTACAAAATCAGGCTATGCTATGACAAAGCTGAACCTGGAGCCAAGCCTGAAAGATGGATTTAATTGGCAATCAAACATTTGGAGAGTGAAGGCCCCTGAAAAAGCGAATTTTTTTCTGTGGCGTGCCGCTATCAAAGCCCTCCCAGTGGGATCGGCTCTTTCAGCTAGAGGACTAGTGGACCTCACGGCTTGTAAACGATGTGGAGAGGAAGAATCTGCTCTTCATATTTTGTTCACTTGTCCTTTTGCTATCCAGGTTTGGGACCTGGCACCGGTTTTATTCAAACCTAGTGTTTTGCAGACAACTTCAGTTAAGTTGTTACTCCAGGAGTCCCGACGTATGGTCAATCTCCCTCCAACGGGCCTCTCCTGTTACCCGCTTTACCCTTGTTTGCTTTGGCAACTTTGGAAGTCACGAAATCGGATCCTGTTTGAGGATAAGAGATTCTCGGCACAAGAAATTTGCTCCAAAGCAATTTCAGTGGCCAGAGAATGGCGAACAGCTCAAATCAGCACAACTACTGTGCTCAAACCCCTTCTGTTTACAGAGGAGATCCATCCTCCCTCTGAGGGAGTCATTTGCCGATCAGATGCAGCTTGGGATGTTATATCCGAGAGGTGTGGTCTAGGTTGGGTATTTGAGGATGCAACTACCTTATTGCCTTTAAGTAAATGTTCTTTTTCTCGACAGTATGTCCCGTCAGCTCTGGCGGCAGAAGCTCTAGCCATGGAGGCAGCCATGAAAACAGCAGTCAGAGCAGGATGGCAAAAGGTGATGTTTTATTCTGATTCCCAGCAGTTAGTCAAGCTTCTAGTCACTGAAGGGTCTTCGACAGAACTCAGTGGAATTCTCTCAAATATCAGTCTTTATTGTGGCAAGATCAGTTCTGTTGTTTTTGGTTATATTCCTTGTTCTAAAAATGAGGCTGCAAATGTTTTAGCTAAGCGGGCTTTAGTGGCTCTTTATAACTCCTCTGTTCGTAGAGGTTAACTGGTTTAGTTTATTAATTAAAAGTTTCGTTTGCGAAAAAAAAAAAAAAAGGGAAAATAATTAATTTTTATAATTTTAAATATTTCCACAATACATAATAATGTTGCGCTTAATACGGAAAGAATGACAAAAGATGAATAATTTTATAACGATTTTTCCCAAACATTTGATTCGTTTAAGTATAGCAAACAGGCCATAACTTTTATCAAGATGATATCATGTATCAGAAATTACGACTGTGCCATCAATCTTGTTTCTCGTCTTTTCATATTTTGGAGGGGCCATACCCGAAAATGGAAATATGATCCTAACCTTAGCTTTTTGTTTGCCGACGTTTACAAGTTTTTGTTGTAAATATTTATATTAAATAGGACAAATAAAAATCCACATCGAGTTTTTATGTTGAAATTGAGTAGAGTTATAATTATTTGTTGAAAATATACAAGTGGATGTGTGTATAAAAGTGGACGCGGGACCACGAATTGACAAGAATCAAATACCGAAAGCCTTATGGTTATTATTCTATCATTCTATGTGATAAGTCTTTTAGATTAGATCACACATCAAAAAAGCAGAAACAGCTCAGATCACTTCTGTCCAGTTATTTTCATGTAAGAACTTATTTGAATCTCTTGTGGATCCAAAACATCTGGGCGGTTCATAATTTCTGTCCATTTATTAACGTATTTAAATATCTTCTGTTTCTAAAGCCTATATAATGGGCCTGTTATAAATCCAAAAAGCTAGGCCCGTTTATCAATTAGTAGGAATGAATTGGTCAACGGGTTACTCAACATTTAACTATATCAAACTGCATATTAATATCAAGGAATTAGTCAACTCTTATTTTTATAAAATCAGTTTTATTTTAGCAAAAAAAGTTATATATAAATGGCAAGTGGACTATGATATTAAATGTAGTACAGAAGAAGACTTTACAGCTGTAGCTTTTGTCACGACAAAAATAGTCAGCAGGCGACCTACACTCTGAGATCAATTATGGTAGCGATATCATTTATTTATGAATATTGTTTACATTTGATATAACTACGTTTATGATAATCATTAGATATGTGATTCAAGTGTAATTTGGATATTAGTTGTGACTTTTTTTTTTTTTTTTTGTTAAAGGGCTTTCTTGCATTAAGATTAGACTAAAAAAAACGACATATACAGCCAGGAAAGGAAAGCAAAAAGAGATGAAAAAACCAAAAATCAACCAAAAGCATGGGAAAGAGACCATTGCTGGAGAATAAGATCTCCACGAGAAGATCCTAAGGAAGACATAGCTCGACATTTATCTTTCGCACAGCTGAGAATAAGACTGAAGACTTTCCCATCAGGAAGAGTAAGTCCATCATGAAGCCTTCGATTTCTCTCCTTCCAAATCTCGTAAACCGCTCCTTGTCAACCTTGTAGCAAAGCAAACTTGGTGGAAGCCACGAGAGAAGTAACATTAAGCCAAAGTAGTAACCGAGTCCACTCCATAGGCGCCGCAGGAACACGGAGATGGTCCTTAATCCTACTCCAGATCGACGCAGAGAAAGGACATTCAAAAAACAAATGATCCTGTGTCTCCAAAGCACCACCACACAGTAAACAAACCCTTTCCGTATCATAACCTTAAGTAGCCATCCGGTCTAAAGTGGGGCTCCGGTTGAGAAGGAATAACCAAGTAATGGTCTGATGACGAGCTAGACCCGCTTTATGCCATAGTAAAGAGGCCCAAAACACCTTTGGCTTTGTAGGACAAATCTCATTCCACACCGCCTTAAGTGAAAACGTTTTCTGAGGAACTCCTTGAAGAGACCAAACCGGTCCATCAGCAAGATCAGATATTAGTTGTGACTTTGAAATACACAAATGGGCGAAGTTTTGAGGACACGTCTTGTAACATGGAATGGAAGCATTAACTTGTCAATTTCACAGTATATATTTTGTTAAGTTACAAAAATTGTCACATTTTATATATTTTGTTCGTTAGTCTTTTACAATAGTTTGTCTTCGTACAAAACACACTCGCAATAGTACGTTGATAAGATTTGTCTTTTATTTATTTTTGTCAACGCGTTGTTAAGATTTGTCGATAAAGAAAAAAACATCAGCAAGATCAGATATTAGTTGTGACTTTGAAATACACAAATGGGCGAAGTTTTGAGGACACGTCTTGTAACATGGAATGGAAGCATTAACTTGTCAATTTCACAGTATATATTTTGTTAAGTTACAAAAATTGTCACATTTTATATATTTTGTTCGTTAGTCTTTTACAATAGTTTGTCTTCGTACAAAACACACTCGCAATAGTACGTTGATAAGATTTGTCTTTTATTTATTTTTGTCAACGCGTTGTTAAGATTTGTCGATAAAGAAAAAAACTGTGTGAATATTTCATTGTACTTTTGTTGTCAGAATTAAAGCAACCCATGCATTACTGAATTTTCAGAAAATAAATGAAGTCAAAGTTTAGTTTATATATGTTGGCGATAGCTATACTAATGTTTGAACTTTGAACATGAAACTGTAAATTTGTTAATAAAATTTTGATTTTTCTCTTCTACTAGATTGAATATTCTTTGTAGTTCACTTTTTATTTTTTAACATTTTTATAGAAAAGTTGATAGGATGTATTTACTTACTTGTCGGTAAACACTCTTATTCAAAGTTCTAGATTTTGTATCAAAAAGATGAAATTTGATTAATTTGGTCGTCTGCTTATCCCTTGGGTCAACGAGACCCAGTCCTCTCCGCTTAGTAAATGAGCAGACAATTGATCTTTATCTTTCGAGAAGAACTTCTTTTGACTTTGAATTTTCATTTTCCCAAAATCTCCTTAAGAAAATTTGGTTGCGTAGAAACTAGAAAGAGAGATTAAGCCGTTGGTGTATGATTCTCGCTCTCATTTAATTCAACCGGATTGGATTTCATCAAATCCGTCGTCTTCCCACCTAACTCAGCGACGCCATTCTCCAAGGTTCGTTCGATTCTCACTTCTCTTAGCTGTTGATTCTTCGTTTGAGTACTGAGAAATCATGAAAAGCTCGAACAAAATCGATTATCACTACTCCCATGAACTCAAATCTGTCTTCCGAGTAGAAAAAAAAAGGGAAATTTTCAAATTTGAATTGAAATTTTTAAGATTTCAATCGTTTGGTGCTCTTTTAACCAATTTAGATGTTGTTTCGATGCAAATTCGATCGGAGAAATGTGTTGCTGGATTCGAATTTTATCTAAAATTCCCAGAATTTACATGAATTGCAGTTGAAAACAATCGAAAGTAGTCTTCTTCGATTAATCGGAGAAGCTGATGAGGTCACGAGGCAGTGATGTCAACGAAGGAGACGGTAGATCAGATGCTGGTTCGTCGAGAAGCGAAGAAGAAACACACTCGCGACACGGGTCTCAAAGATCTGGAAAAAGCTCGAGAAACAACGAGGAGCCAAACTACGGATCAGAAGATTCTTCATCTAAGAACACAAGCGGCAACAACAACCCAATTGAGTATACAGAGCAGGAACGAGCTGAGCTTCTAAGAAGGTTAGACTCAATCAAAGATCATCTCCTCCGTGGTGGTGGTGGAAATGCAGCTGATAAACCAAAAGAAGCATTCCTCAGACCACAGCCTTATTACCACAATCCGTATCCAGAGCCATATCCTTACGCTGGACCAATGTATCCTCAAGGCTATCATCAAGATCCTTACGGATTCCAAGTCCATAGAAGACCACCTCCAGTTCCAAATCCAAACTGGTATCCTCCTCCTCCTCCATATCCTCCTCGTCCATATCCTGGAGGTGGAGGCCAATATGTTGAGATTGGTGCTGATATAGTTGAGCCACATTCCTTCTTCCCAGCTACACCGAGTAGGTACGGTGGTGATATGCCTCCGTATAGCCCTGTTTCTTCTCACAACCGTGGCGGTGGTGCAGCACCCTACAGTCCTTCTTCCATGAGCTCTCCAGGTCCTCGAGGTGGTGGTGGTGGTGGTGGTTACGCGAGGTGGCCAAGTGATCTTGATTCAGAAATGGGAGGAGGCGCGTTTGCTCGTGGCTATGTGAAGAAGGCTGTTTCGGATAGGGATGCTCGTCGTTGCCATCCGCTTGCTGGTGGTGCTCCTTTCATAGCTTGTCATAGTTGCTTTGAGCTGCTTTACTTGCCTAAGAAGAAGCTTTTAGCTCAGGAAAGGAAGCTACATAAGCTTCAGTGTGGTTCTTGCTCTCAAGTCATTAGTTTCACTATCGTTGATAAGAAACTTGTCTTCTCTTCTGGTAATGAGGAAGCAAACCCTGTCTCTCTAGAGGTGGTAACGAACACAGTGGTGGTTGAGGAACGCTCTTCTGTTGATGAAGACGAAGAAGCGATAAAGGAATCAAGAAATCACCAAGAAACTACGCAAAGCGTTGGGACTGCTTCTTCTCAATGCTCAGATGATGAAGAAATATCAAGTGAACAAGAACAGAGAGAGGTTAAATCTGTTCGTCGGCGAGCTCAAGTCTCAAAATCTCCGGAACCAGCTGCTTCTGAGAGTGCCAGTCTTCTTGAACTTTTTGAGTATTCTAATGTGAACAGAGCAGCACTCGCTTACGGAATGGCGGAGTTAGGTTATCACAAGCCGGACAAGAAAGAGTTCTTCGTGAAGAAAGACTCGCCGCCGAAGAAGCCTGAATCAGTAGCTACAGAGACAGAGGTTTCTTACAATGGATACTCTAACACTGAGATCTCTGAAGATTCAAGGAACTCAAACGGAAGAGAAGAAGACAACAACAGACGAAGTGAGTTTGGTGGTTCCACGGAGATCACTAATGGAAACGAAGATCAAGGGAAGCTATTTGAAGTTTGGGTTAATGGACATCTGATACCGGAAGATCTTGTTAGCAGTGCTGAGAAATTAGCTGGACCAATCCAAGCTGGAAAGTATTGGTAATGCTCATGAACAATATTTCTCTCTTTGTTTGTTTCTTTACTTCCATTTTCAGTTTCTGATTCATGTATGTGATTCAGGTATGACTACAGAGCTGGATTCTGGGGGGTAATGGACAAACCGTGTCTCGGTATAATACCTGTAAGTTCCTTCACATTCTTCTCTCAGTGTTTGATTATCTGAAACAGAACAGCATCGGAGTCAGATGGATGACTTGGTTGTTGTTTGTTTGTCTGTTGCAGCCATTTATTGAAGAGTTTAGTCATCCAATGCCGGATAGATGCGCTGCTGGGAACTCAGAAGTCTATGTGAATGGAAGAGAGCTTCACAAGAGGGACTTCGAGTTACTCGTGGGTCGTGGTCTGCCTCGTGACAAGAACCGTTCTTACATCCTTGATATATCCGGAAGAATACTTGATGGAGATTCAGGGGAAGAACTTAAGAGCCTTGGCAAATTAGCCCCAACGTAAGCAAATTACTGAGACAGATATGACAGTGTTTTGGTTTTGAGTTTTGACATTGTGAGATCAAAACACAGTTGTTTATTTCTAACAAAATGTTTTGATAACTTGAAACAGGATTGAGAAGGTGAAGCATGGATTTGGTATGAGGGTTCCAAGATCATTAGCATCATGAAAGCTCCCACAAGTAGCAACATAACCAAATGATTCTGGTTTCAATCTTAGTATTATTGATTTGTTTCTCAAAATGTAAAGTGTGCCTTTTTTACTTATGACATGAGTTGGAAAGTTTTTTTATTTTTTTTTCACGTGGGCTAGGTTTTGATTCAAGATTGTTTTTTCTCTTAATTTCTTCTTCATGAAATATCTGATTTTTTTACCGAGTAGACATCAACTATCATCTAGAAGTAGAAACTAATCAAAAGAAATAATATTTCCGATGGAGACTTGCAAAAAAGGTTCACCAAAATATAATATCTGTTAATTTCTTCTTCGGGAAACATCTGTATTTTCTTCTACGGGAAACAACGGTAACCAATGTCCATTGGTTCAATCACTTTTGTGCAAACATATAGTACAATAAAACCTCTATAAAGTAATACTCGATAAAGTAATACCTCGATAAATGAATAGATTTTTTTAGTCCCAAATTAAGTTTTCGATCTAATTATCTCTCAATAAATTAATAATCTCGCTAAAGTAATAAAATATCATGGTCCTAACATTATTACTTTATAAAAAATTTACTCCTTACTATCTGGTATGGCGCCTTGATGTAAGCTTTAGTACTACAAAATGCAGGTTCCAAAACAGAAACACAAGGACACATATCAACCAATTCTTCTTTCACCCAAGTCTGAATATGCAAGTGTTTTTGTACTCTTTTTGTTTCTAAGTACCTTCTCCTCCCAAAGACAAACTCGGTCTGATCCATTACTGGCAGAAGAACTTGTCCCTGAACAATTAGCAATCAAGTCATATTAGTTATAATGTTTACCTACAAGAAAGGTTGTGCTCGTTCTCCATCAAGGTCATCAATCCGCGTAAATCGTATATCTACCCTCTCCATTTTGAGTAATCCCATGGCTCTTGTTTTTTTAAATCTCAGTCAAACTGAAAAATAAGAAAACGATGAAAGCTGGACATTTTGAGTAATCCCATCATATTTTGTTGATGAACACTATTGTTTCATCTAGAATTTTGCTGGCGAACGCGAGCTACAGTTAAAAATCGAGAATAAACAGATGCAACATGGAAAGTAAAAGAAAATTTACACCTCCATTTTTGTGCAATCTGAGAGCACTTCAAAGCATTTTTAATAGATATTTTTCATTGAAGTTTTCAAATACTTTTTAAGAACCTAAATCACACATGTTTTATATGATTGGTTCAAATATTTGTAATAATTTAATTTTTCGTTATCTAATTAATCTATATAATAAAATTTATTTAGGTTTATAAAGTAATAAAATTTAGCCAATTTTATAATTTTCTACACAACACCAAAAGGTACAAGGAAGCCAAAGGGATTCTTGTGAATACTGAATACCTTCTTCCAGCTAAAGCCAAATGTTATAATTAAGGCCTTGCAAGAACCTAGTCTGATAAACTTCCATTTTATCCTATTGGACCGTTAATTAACATAGGTAAGCGAGAAGGTGGCAAGATGGAAGGATTTTTAATGTGGCAAGATTTTGAATGTTAATGCTCGGTTCGGTTTTGTATGTGTCCTTCGGTAGTGGCGGTACACTCATGTCACCAGCTCAATGAACTTTCTCTTGGTCTTGCGGATAGTAATTTTTTGGGTCTAGTTCTTCCTTTTTACCACCAATTTTTTTTTTTAAACTAACAAAAGGTAGAGATTTTATAATCCCTTCTTGGGCTCCACAAGACCAAATATTAGCTCATCCATCTACGGGAGGATTTTTGAGTCATTGTGGATGGAATTCAACTATGGAAAGTATAGTAAACGGCGTTCCACTCATAGCATGGCCAGAAGAGAAGAGGTAGCAAGAGTGGTGAATGGATTAATGGAAGGTGAAGAAGGTAAAAGGAGGGAGGAATAAGACGAAGAAAATGAAAGAAGGAGCTTGTAGGGTGATGCAAGATGATGGATCTTTGTAAAGATCCATCATCTTGTGATTAATCTTCTATCATGCATGTTGTGTCGTATTTTATATCATATGGATATTAATTAATTATTGGTAATATTATACCGTTAATACGTATCCGCTAGGAGCTGAACTAATTAAAGTATGAAACTACCGGCACCCATGATTATACTAAAGTATTTGAATACATAACATCACAAATTTTGTTTAACCTAACCAAACAATATTTGTTGTTGGATAACTTTTGCTATTTTGAAAATATTTGATCTACGCGAATTAACCTAAAGAAATTGGCTCAATCTATTATCTATAACGGATAGTAATAAACCATTATCTATGTACGGATAGCAATATGGTTACTATATTGATTCTCCTGCCTCCCTGAGTTCACGTGTGGCTAGAGGTGAAGAGCTTTCATTTGAGAGTCCATATTTGGTGTAACTTGGGAACCAACGAGACTGAAGCATTGCGTATCCTCATGGAAGCGTCTTCTAACTATAGCAAAGCGGTCCAAAGCCTTACCAATCTCAGCCTCGTTCAAGTCCTTGTACCTTACGTAGAAAATCGCATTTATGGCATTGAGTCCCTCACCATTCGCATCCATGGCCACCTTCACAATCTCCAACTTGGGAGGACCAAAAGCCTTATCTTCGCTGTTCTTAACTATGGCAATAGCAAGTTCAATATACAGAAGAATCCAGTCATTGTCTTGCAGCTCTGATTCCTTCACCTGAACCAAAACATATACATGCATCACTACTTTGTTGGATTAACTAAAAAGACCATTATTCGTGTGTGCCCTAATCTTATTCTTACTTACGAGGTAATATTTTTGAAAAGGATTCTCTGCCGGCCACTCAGGCAAGCTACTATCTACAAAAGACGCTCCTCTGCCACTGGTTGTGTCCCCTAAATCAGCAAATTGAGTTTAGAGACATGGTTTCCTTTGTAAACAAATGAACAAAGCATATATATTAGAGAGTGAGTGTTTTACCTCGAATTCTGGCAACATTGCACATGAGAATATATATTAGAGAGTGAGTGTTTTACCTCGAATTCTGGCAACATTGCACATGAGAATATATCTGCCAAAACTTTGTTCTGATACTTCAGTCTGAAAAGTTTGAAGCAGGAGCCAACAGCAGCTGGATCAATTGCATCCAGAGTTATGTAGTAACAGCAAGCACAAGTACCCTTTGATTGTACGTATTTCGTTACGCCACTCAGCTCAAACTTTGTACCCTGATGAAAGAAACGAAAGAGCATATTCGAGTGTTACATGATAACTAAAGCATGTGGATGTAAAGAACAAGCAAGAGCTTTTATTAGACCTCCAGCAAATTGTAGCGATGAAGGCCCATCCTAGCGTACAGCAAGACTAAGCCAGGACAAGGACTCTGTTCATTACAGATCTCTTGCTCGTAATCGATCGTAGAACCCGGGATATCGAACACCTAAACAAGATAGATTTCTAGTGGATCAATTAGGTCAATCAATCTCATAATTAATTAAAAGCAAGGATGATGAAAGAATAACACATACACCGTATTCCTTCACAAGTTTCCAAGAAGCAGCCCTATGCGATTATATTCATCAGTACCGTAGGGTCCGATCAGCATTATTATCGTCTCTCCCCCTCCTCAAACGATTTAGGTTTAGGTTTGTCGATTTAAGGCGATGATGATTTTCGTCGAATTATGTAGGTTACGTTTCTCTCTCGCGAGTATATATATATATATATGACTTATCCATCAATCGGTTGGGCCCCTTCACAACCCAATATCTCGTTCGTTTTGCTTTTTTCTCTTTCTAATATATTTTCCTCAAAACAAACTTGTATGTGACGTTAGTTACCTTCGATTTGTATAGATTCAGTACCTATTTTATTTTCTTGTTTCAAAATTGGAATTTTGTTTTTTTTAGCAGAAAAAAATAATGGCACAACAAGATTGTTGCTTTATTTTACCTATCATGTTGATCTTTCATCTTCGTCCTACGCTATACTTTTTTAGCAACTGTTGTAAAATACCCTATGTGAGAGGGTTCAGTAGTCCAACGGCTTCATGTGACCAAGGCTATTTGGAAAGTATCATGTTAACTCTTGTGTCTCATATGAATTAGTTTCCCCTAGAAACCATATAATTATATTTTATAGAATGAATTTGAGTAAATGGGGATCAACGATATACAAATGGCTGCTGTAGCCATTTTCGTAAGATTTTCTCACAATCTACTTCATGAAAAGAATACCTTGTATTAAAATAAATAAAAAGAAGAGATAACAAGAATACCTTCTCAAGAAGTCGTGTTATTCCTTTTGGCATTTCTTTCATTGATACTCAAATAGCCAAAACCAATCAATGTCAAAACAAAGATAACAAGAGCACCGGCCAAAAGTTCAAGCCCCAGAAAGAAGTAAAACAAAAACATAACCACGAAAAACAGTAATGCCAAAAGGCAAAACACGACTTGAAAAACAACTATAAATAGTACAAAAATCTTAGCAAAGGAGGTGCTGAAACTCTACTGAAATTGTGTGATAAAATATATTTTGTTTAGTCTATTTTTGCCTTACCAAATCTTGCTTTCAAAGAGTGACCAACACGGCAACACCCTCGGCCAAGTCTCTCATGCTGCCTTCAATTCTTGGACATCGGTCATCTTTTTGAAATCAGCTATCATCATCTTGTTATCCCTATCCACCTGAGCCTTTTGATCTCTTCCATGCTGCCTTCCATTCTTGGGCATCGGTCAGCTTTTTCAAACCAGCTATTATTTTCTTGTTATCCCTGTCCGTTTGAGCCTTTGCTCTCTTCCATGCTGCCTTCCATTCTTGGGCATCGGTCATCTTTTTGAAACCAGCTATCATTTTCTTATTATCTCTATCCGTCCGAGCCTTTGCTCTCTTCCATGCTGCCTTCCATTCTTCGGCATCGGTCATCTTTTTGAAACCAGCTATCATTTTCTTGTTATCCCTATCCATCCGAGCCTTTGCTCTCTTCCATGCTGCCTTAAATCCTTGGACTTGAGTACCACCAACATTTGCTTTCTTAATCTCGTCATGTTTTTCCTCCGACCAGTCTATCTTGAAGCCCGCTTCTTTTATCTCAGTCGAATTGCTTAGCTCAGTCTCCGATAAGCTATATGAAAAATACCATAAAGAAGAAGATTTAATTAAGAAACCCTTTTTTAGTTGTACCTATCATATAATATTATAATATCGACCTAAAACGAAGTTGTTTATTGAATCTACCGGATGAGTCAGTCAAGAATCAAAACACCAACGCACACACCTATACTTACCATATGTTTGTTGATGAATCATTCTCCCAGTAGCTATCAATCTCAAACAGTAAAGGCGTTTTCTCCTCCTCCATGTGTTTGAAGACGACTTTGATATCTCTCACACAATCTTGTATCTGATACTTTTCCCATAAACCGGGATATTTATAAACTTTCGTCAAAATCCTAATTCGAAAGAAATAAAGAATTTATAAACCTGATTTTTTTATTTTTTTAACAAAAACACTAATCAGCTCTCTTTACTATAATGTAACAATGGGCGTGGTTCTACACTTCTACTTATGTGGAATCGTGAGCTAGTAATCTATTTAAGAATCCTATCAGGATAATGGTTAGTTTATATGGATGTGTGTAAATAATTAGAGACAACTCCTAATCTGAGGGATTCGTACGACTTCTGTTATTCTTTCGTTAGAAATTTAGAATATCTAAATGTTAACGAATAACGATTGTGGTAAAACAGAAACATAACCACGAAAAATAGTAATGCCAAAAGGCAAAACACGACTTGGAAAAACAACTATAAATAGTACAAAAACTATTAGCAAAGGAGGTGCTGAAACTCTACTGAAATTGTGTGATAAAATATAATTTGTTTAGTCTATTTTTGCCTTACCAAATCTTGCTTTCAAAGAGTGACCAACCCCCTCGACCAAGTCTCTAGCAGTCTTGGTATTCTTTTTGAAATCAGCTATCATCATCTTGTTCTCCCTATCCATGTCAGCCTTTACTCTCTTCCATGTTGCCTTAATATCTTCGACATCGGTCATCTTTTTGAAATCAGCTATCATTATCTTGTTCTCCCTAGCCATGTCAGCCTTTACTCTCTTCCATTGTGCCTTAATATCTTGGATATCTGTCATCTGTTTGAAATCAGCTATCATTATCTTGATCTCCCTAGCCATGTCAGCCTTTACTCTCTTCCATTGTGCCTTAATATCTTGGATATCGGTCATCTGTTTGAAATCAGCTATCATTATCTTGTTCTCCCTAGCCATGTCAGCCTTTACTCTCTTCCATTGTGCCTTAATATCTTGGATATCGGTCATCTGTTTGAAATCAGCTATCATTATCTTGATCTCCCTATCCATATCAGCCTTTACTCTCTTCCATTGTGCCTTAATATCTTGGATATCGGTCATCTGTTTGAAATCAGCTATCATTATCTTGATCTCCCTATCCATATCAGCCTTTACTCTCTTCCATGTTGCCTTAGATCCTTAGACTTGAGTACCACCAATATTTTCTTTCTTAATCTCGTCATGCTTTTCCTCCGACCAGTCTTGCTTGAAGACCGCTTCTTTTATCTCAGTCGAATTGCTTAGCTCAGTCTCCGATAAGCTACATATGGAAGTACCGTAAAGAAGAAGTTATCTAAGAAACCCTTTTTTGAAAGTTGTACCTATAATATAATATCGACCTAAAACAAAGTTGTTTTTTGAATCTACGGTAGAAGTCAAGAATCAAAACAAAAACACACAAACACATGAATAAATATATCTATACTTACAATATGTGTGCTGATGAATCTTTGTCCGAGTAGCTATCAATCTCAAACAGTAAAGGCGTTTTATCCTCCTCCATGTGTTTGAAGACGACTTTGATATCTCTCACACAATCTTGTATCTAATACTTTTCCCATAAACCGGGATATTTATAAACTTTCGTCAAAATCCTAATTCGAAAGAAATAAAGAATTTATAAACCTGATTTTTTTATTTTTTTAACAAAAACACTAATCAGCGCTCGTAATCTTTACGAGTATAATGTAACAAGAACTATGAATTTATGGGCGTGGGTTCTACTTATGTGAATCGTGAGCAAGTAATCTATTTAAGAGTCCTATCAGGATAATGATTAGTTTATATGGATATATGTGTGTAATTAGGGCCAGCCCTGACCTAAAGCACATAAAGCATGTGCTTTAGGCGCCAAAAGTTAATAAATATTTAGGGGTGCCAAATTTGCAAAAGTTAGTAGTAGCGTAGTGGTTTTATCCTCTCCTTTCGTCTCACCGCAGCGCAGTTTGATGCCCCTCCTATGCGAAACTTGTTAACTTTATTTTAATGAATATTTAAATGGGCTAAAAAAATGTATTAGGCTTTAGGTACCATAATGGTACGGGCCGGCACTGTGTGTAAATAATCTGAGGGATTCGTAGGACTTCTGTGATCTCTATTCTTTCGTTTGGGATTTAAAATATTTAAATGTTAACGATTGTTTTTTTTTATATATAAAATACAGACGTGTATGACACGGTTTTGGTGCGTACAGTTTGGTCTACCAGTTCAGTGTATTCTCGGTTATTTTCAGGATCCTCACGAGTAGCTAGCTAGAGGTGAAGGCTGTTAGATCTGAGATAGAACTCGTTAAAACGGGTTACCAAAGATGTGGGTTTAGAAAACTGGAAGCTTGATTTAAGTCGAAGAATATCAGGAAGATTATAAAAGGTGTTATCTCGCCGACAAGCTTGGCGAGATGAACTATGATGAACAAGAGGAAAAACTAAAATGAAAGTAAGGAGGTGCAAAGCCTAGTAATTTTAGATGATTTCGGATCCTTTTTCAAGAATGGGGGTCTTCAATATATAGTGTTGATAGGTCGGCCTCTTGGTGAATATTTTTCTATCGGCGAGATAGAAAACTTCCTCTTTTGCGAATATGGAAAACTTCCTCTTACTCTTGATTTCCTTCCATTCTTCGAGTCGGCATGATAGTTTGTTTACATTCTCTCATGGATTGTGCCTTCTTCCTCAAGTCTTGCCATTTTGTTGAGGAGGTTACACTACAAGAAAAAAGGAATATTGTGACAGAAAATTTGTGACAAATTATTTTGTCATAATATTGTGACAATTTACATACAAAAATGTGACAAAATTATTTGGTCATAAAAGTGTAACCTTTTCGTTATAATATTGTGACCAGAATGAATGTAACAAACATTTGTCACTAATTGTGACGAATTTGTTATGAAATATTTAGTCACAAATATTATTACACTTTTGCGACTAAATCCGGTAATTAAACTGATACGATTTTGGTGACGAAACTTAAGTCACTCATAGTTACAAAAAGTTGGTAAGTATTTTGTTACAATTAGTTACTGTTTTTGTGACCATTGGGTGTGGTCATAGATTATGACATAATTGTTACCATTTTGTGACAATATTAAAAACTTTATGAATTTCAAATTATATAAGAAAATAGTATAAAATCCCAAAACTACAGAAAATTTAGATAAACGCTCTCTGTTCCTTTTATACTTGTATTTGTATAAAACGAGTCATATTTCACTAATAACTTGGGTTTACGTATGAATTTGAACCCCAACACGTGTTAGTGATTTGAATTGTCTTCTCCACAATATAAGTTCCCTCTGCATGTCATAAGCATGTGTCTGTATCTCTTTCTTTTATATTGCTAGATCTTTAAACACTTTGGCTGATTGCTTTGTTATATATTTGAACCGTTTCTCTAATAATAGGGTGTAGTCGTGACTCTCTTTTTAATATATCTATGTTTGCACAAAAAAAAAATGAGATAGAAAATTATTCTACTTGGTTGATTATTGTTCTCGACTGATCTTTCGGCTAATATTGTCCATCATTTTGTTGTGTGCACTATGCAGTAGGCGAGATTCGGAAGTGAAGCTCTTTTGGTTGTGATTTTAGATACAAAGACTTGATTCTCCATTGAACGATTTAGGGTGTACATTTTTTACAAAAAAAAAACGATTTAGGGTATACTTAGGGTAATATAATTTTTTGTGATTGCGACTTTTCAAAAAAACAAAGGATGCCTACCTAAATCTCTGCTCTTTTTCTTAATTCACACTTAATTACGATTATAAAGCTAAGATTTATTTAAGTTGTACAATATGAATCTGAAACTCTATTATTACCTACGATATATTTTGCAATTATCAGATAAAAAAAAAATATATATATATAGATCTCTTAGCTAAAATTAAGTTAACCACCACAACCCTAAATTATGTGATATCAATCGTGGAGGCTCAATCATTTTAACGGCTTAAACTTTCACAAGAGAGCCAAAAATTTCCCCAATTGAGAGATAAAAAACGTGTTAAACATTTTAACCATCTCACTTAGCCTCTCAAAACCGTTCTCTCCAGTTTCCTTCTATAAGAGCCTCGCAAAATAAGGCCAACTGCTTTGTCTTCAATTTCATATATAGATCTCATTGGAAGCCGTTCTTCACGAATCTGGAGTTTTAGAAACTAATCTATCTATATGTTAATTTCCAGTTTGCTTTGTGATCATTGATTGGTGTTTATGCTGAATTTTGTTGCGTCTTCTTCATTAAGATTCCTCTATAAGCTTTTTTTTTTTCATTACTTGCATCTATGATCGGTGGTTTATTGTACTTTTAATTACGTTTTTGATTTGTAAGAAGTAAGAACTTAAGTTTTCTTTTGACAGATTTTGAGATTGATACAATGGAAACAACCAAACAGACCAGGTTTGTGCTTCCGTCATATTCCAGAAGCTAATCAGTTTCATTTCAGTATGCAAAATCTCTGTGATGGAGCCCTTTAAAGTGAATTCTTATCTCTTGATTCACAAGATATCATACTTCTTAGATGAAAAACCTCTATGTTGAAGTGCATCTTATTAGTATGATTTCAGTAGTTATTGAATGCTAAAACTGTGTTGAAACCATCCCGTTAGTGGTGTTGCAAGTGGGCTAAGTGTGTTTACTTGAACTGGACTACTAACTAGTTTATTCATGAAACAATCTACTATTTCAATGTTTTTTAGTGATGAATCATCCCTGTTGATTCAAAAGCTTCTCTATGTTCTGTTTCAGTTGGCTGAATTACTTGAACTGGACGAGGACTAGTCCACCGTGTATGTACTAACTCTTGTAAAGCTCAACCTTAAAGTTTTATATAATAAATTTTCACAAAATATCTTAATTCTGTATATGATATTGAAAGAATTGTTGTGTTTTAGTGAAAATTCAATTATGATGATCTTTATCTGCAAAGTTGATTGAAGCATTTGGTTTCAAATATTTTATTTGTGTCTTGTGTTTAATGTTCACATAACCTGTACTTTGTTGAAGGAACTCCAGTCAGCAAGCAAGGCTCTCGTTAACATCAACGAGCTCGTGAGCATGCCCTCAAACAGCAGCAGAATAACAACAATAACCGTTTTAATGAAGATGAGGAAGCACTGAAACGTGAGCACACTGAAGAAGAAGAGCGTCCTCCTCCTTTATGTGTTTTCAACAAAGAAGCTCCCTCACCTCTCTCCAATACAAATGCAGACACCAAAACGAGTCAAACAACAACTCAAGCAGAACCAAACAAGAGCATTGTTCGTCCACAACAACTGCCGTCGACAATACACCAACCTTAATCTCATCATCTGCTGCTGCTACCAACACTGCCATCTCAGCGTTGCTTGAGTTCTCACTCATGTGTTTCTCTGACAAGAAAGATAACATGCGGCTTATTCACAAGGAAGCTCCTCCTACTACTCTGCTTGCAAGTTTTGGAGAGAAGCTTAAGAGAAACGTCTAATTCCAACTCCACCACCAAAACCATTTATCCTTAGTTAATATTTATCAAGACTTTTTCTTCTAAATTGTGCTATTAGGATTTCTTTTGTTTCGGATGATTTTTTTTTGTTTTGTATTGGGATATTTGTATTTTAAGAAAGTATTTTCTATTTTATCTTATTTTTGTTTTTTTTTTGTTTTACAATTGTAGGTAGTGACTGCGTAATTGGTAATGATATGTCACAATTTGCTACGGATTCGTCATAAGAAAGTGTCACAACTAAAAATATAGTGACGATTCTATGACTATAGTTTAGTGACTAATTGTGACACATTTATAACGTTTTCCTCGTCGCATTTTTGATACGCTTGAGTGACTAAAATACGGTATTAATCATGACAAATTTGGGACATTTTTTTTGTCACAATTTGTGGCCTATTTGTGACAATATTTTTGTCACGAACTATCACGTTTTTGTGACGTTCACAATACGTCACAGTTTGTGACGAACTGTTACGGTTGTTACTCGTCACAAACGGTTGTGACGTTTTTGTGACAAAAAATGACTTGTGACCATTTTATTGTGACGTTCTATAATTTATAGCATTTTGGTCACAATATTCTTTTTGTGACTGAATATTGATATATTGTGACAAAAAAATGGTAACAATAGTCACTTTTTCTTGTAGTGTTAGGACCAAAGTTGGATTGGGCTTTTATGGTTTTACTAATGGTGACGGACTCAGGGAAATGTGCTAATTTCTCCTCTAACAATAAGTCCCCCCAACTCTGCAAGTCAAATGCAGTTTGGTCTCGGCGAGTTTCATGAATAAAGAGGGAGCTTAAGAGTCATTAGTAAAATCATGCTGGACCGGTCCAAATTTGGCGCCTAGGTGCTTTGCAGAATGTAGATTCGTGCCGCTTCATTAAAACCTTAATACGGAAAAACCCAATTGGGTCAAAAACCATAAGAAGGAAAAAGAGTACGTTGACGTCGAGTTAGGTTATCACAAGCCGGTTAAGCAAGAGTTCTTCGTGAAGAAAGACTCGCCGCCGAAGAAGCCTGAATCAGTAGCTACAGAGACAGGTTTCTTACAATGGATACTCTAACACTGAGATCTCTGAAGATTCAAGGAACTCAAACGGAAGAGAAGACAGCAACAACAACAACACAGAGAGATCTTCTAGTGAAGACCAAGAGAAGTTATTAGAAGTTTGGGTTAATGGACATCTGATACCGGAAGATCTAGTTAGCAGTGCTGAGAAATTAGCTGGACCAATCCAAGCTGGAAAGTATTGGTAATGCTCATGAACACCATTTCTCTCTTTGTTTGTTTCTCTACTTTCATTTTCAGTTTCTAATTCATGTTATCTGATTCAGGTATGACTACAGAGCTGGATTCTGGGGGGTAATGGACGAACCGTGTCTCGGTATAATACCTGTAAGTTCCTTCACATTCTTTGATTATCTGAAACAGAACAGCATCGGATTCAGATGGATGACTTGGTTGTTGTTTGTTTGTTTGTTTTTTTGCAGCCATTTATTGAAGAGTTTAGCCATCCAATGCCGGATAGATGCGATGCAGGTAACTCAGAAGTCTATGTGAATGGAAGAGAGCTTCACAAGAGAGGGTCGTGGTCTGCCTCGTGACAAGAACCGTTCTTACATCCTTGATATATCCGGAAGAATACTTGATGGAGATTCAGGGGAAGAACTTAAGAGCCTTGGCAAATTAGCCCCAACGTAAGCAAATTACAGAGACAGATATGACAGTGTTTTGGTTTTGACTTTTGACATTATGAGATCAAAACAGAGTTTTTTTTCTTTCTAACAAAATGTTTTGATAACTTGAAACAGGATTGAGAAGGTGAAGCATGGATTTGGTATGAGGGTTCCAAGATCATTAGCATCATGAAAGCTCCCACAAGTAGCAACATAACCAAATGATTCTGGTTTCAATCTTAGTATTATTGATTTGTTTTTCAAAATGTAAAGTGTGCCTTTTTTACTTATCAAAACGTCTTTTTTTTCACGTGGGTTAGGTTTTGATTCAAGATTGTTAATTTCTTCTTCATGAAATATATTTGTATTTTTTTACCGATTAGTCACCAACTGGAAGTAGAAAACTAAGCAAAAAGAAATAATATCTCAATGGTGACTTGAAAAAAAGATTCACTATAATATCTCTTAATTTCTTAACGGGAAATATATGTATTTTTTCTACTGAGTATTCATCAAGTGAAATTAGAAACTAAGCAAAATGAACATCTTGGAGCCGGTTGATGAAACTTCGTTGGTTGGCAAAATTGACGCGGATCGCTGACTTGAAGTTAAGAGTATGATTTAATGGTAAATGAACCGATTAAAAGTTAGGATGTAGGTAATTTTTTTCTTTTTTTTTTGGTGTAACACCGGGAGCTAGCTCCCAGTTTATTCAAACAAGAAAAAGTACTACAAACGAACTTGCCGAGGACGTGAGTCGCCACGCTCATCATCCCGCAATACACTTAACAGAACCGAAGGAACAAAATCAAAAACATGAAGCCCTAGTGGCAAAGTAAAAGCATAGTTAGCCAATCCATCAGCTAGACGATTGGCCTCCCTATACACGTGAGTAACCCGGACCTCCCAGTCCTTTGATAAGAAGCCATGGCACAGATGCACCAGGAAAGACAGTGGGTGTGTGTCACAGATCCTGTCTGAAGAAAACCTACCACCAGTGAAGAGTCCACCTCGACTTCCAGTCTCGAGACCCCCTTCTCCCACGCAATGCAAAGACCGTAGTAAACGCCCCACAGTTCCGCCATTGGTGCTGTGCAACGTCCAATATTCAACGAGAATCCTCCATGCCATTGTCCGTCACCGTCACGTATCACACCTCCTGCTGTTGCCAACCCCGGATTACCACGAGAGGCCCCATCCGTATTTAGCTTCATCCAAGTAACTAGTGGTGGCAGCCACGAGATAAGTCTCTCCTCCCTTGTCACTACTCTCCGATTGTCACTTCTCAACATAACTTGATGCACTTCTCTTGCATATTCTTTCACAAATTTCACCCTATCCTTCCAGAGTCTGTTGTCTCCAAAGATATTGCCACAACGCCATTTCCACGCCCACCAAGCCGAGACAGCAAACATAGTCGACCAGGGTCCAAACCCTGTCTCAGCTTCTTCACTCAAGTTTGCATACAACCAGTCAAGGAGAGGTATCGCAAAGAAGATTCGTTGCTTACCTCTCGGAACAATACGTCTCCATATCCCTGACATCGCAGGGCAATCTCGTAACACATGCAAAGTAGATTCCACTCCAGCTTTACATACTTGGCAAATCCCGGTGTCACTCATGTGTCTACGAAGTCTTTCTTGGTTTGTCATTATCCCATAGTTACTAACTAGCCAAAGGAAGACGCGTACTCTCTCCGGTGCTCTTATTCTCCACACACGTCTAAAGAAGTTGCTCATGTTCGGTTTAAAGTACTCATCCCGTGACAAAAGGCGATATGCTGACGACACCGTGAACCTCCCGTCAGCTGTCTCCCCCCAGGATATTGTGTCTGATCTCCCGGCGTTCAAGTTCACCACCACAGCCGCCATTTCCAGTCTCGTCTCCTCTGACGTATATGGTATGATTCTCTGGAGGTCCCACCCGATACCATTGCTCCATAAATTTCCCGCCTTCAGGTGTAAGGCCTCTAACGGTATCTCTGCCATAGTTAAATCACAGAGAGCAGAACCCATTAACCACTTGTCTGTCCAGAAGTTAATACTCTGTCCATCCCCCATAACCCAACTGTGACCCGGAATAACCACATCTTTGATAGCCAGGGCCACACTTCTCCACGTGGATGACCATGTTCCTTTAGAGACTAACCAAGAGCCATCATGAATATCTCCGACTTTGTACTTGCTCCGAATCACCCTTGCCCACAAACTAGAGAAATCGTGCATCACCCTCCAACCCACTTTCGCGAGTAAGGCTTTGTTCATAAGATTCGACTTACGGATACCCAGACCTCCTTCTGCTTTTGGTTGGCACAGTCTCTCCCAACCAATAAGATGCTGTTTCCTCTTCTCAGCCGTGGATCCCCACACGAAATCTCGTGACACACGGTCTAAAGCTTTCGCCGTCGATTCCGGAAGCTTGCACGCACTCATAGTGTGCACCGGTACTGACCCGAGAACTGCCTTCGTTAAAGTGATGCGCCCTGCCAAACTTAACACACGCCCTTTCCATCCCGCTAGTTTTGACGAGACTCTTTCAACTACCATGCCAAACGTTTCCTTATTAATCCTTTTCTGCAAAATAGGCATCCCAAGATACACGCCTAGCTCTCTTGTTGCCTGGATACCGCTTGCTGCACTGATGGCACTACTCAACTCTCGAGAGACATTGTCTGAAAAAAATATCTTTGATTTCTCAAGGCTAACCTTTTGTCCCGAGGCTTGACAGAAGTTCTCCAAAACGCTACGTACTACTCGGACCTGAGCAACAGATGCCTCTGCAAATAGAATTAGATCGTCGGCAAAACAGATGTGAGAGAGTTTGGGACCGCCTCTTGATAGACTAATCGGTTTCCACTTCTTATCATCTATAGCTTCCTCAATCAAGTGACATAATCTCTCCATGCATAGTACAAACAAATATGGTGATAGTGGATCACCTTGCCTCAAACCTCTCATTGGAACAAAGCTATCTGTTCTCTCCCCATTCCATATCAAGCTCATGTTTGGACCGGTGACGCACTGCATGATCCAGACCACCCATTGTTCTGTGAAACCCGCTACTCGAAGAGAATCTTCTAAGAAATCCCATCTGATCCGATCGTATGCTTTCTCTAGGTCTAGTTTGAGCAGCATCCAACCTTTTTTACCCTTCTTCCTCCTCATTGAATGTACAACCTCCTAGACAATCACAATGTTATCAGTACTCAGTCGACCCGGGATGAAGCTTGATTGGGCTGGTCCAATCAACTTAGTCATGACCGGTTTCATTCTCTCCACCATAACCTTCGTGATGATTTTGAGTAAAACGTTGCACATGCTTATGGGTCGAAATTGTTGAATCTTCTCCGGACTCGCAACTTTAGGCAGCAAAACCAACATGACATCATTAGTTCCCTGCGGCAGCGATCCCGTGCGGAAGAAGTCTAGTGCGAAACGAGTGACAGATGCCCCAACTTCCGTCCAGCATTTCTGGTAAAACACCGGTTGGAACCCGTCCGGCTCCGGTGCTTTAAGACTCCCCATACTCCTAACTGCCTTCACTATATCCTCCTCAGAGAACGGGATGTTCAAGTCCCTGAGTTGAAGCTGAGTCAGCTCCACAAAGCCCTCTGCCGGTAACGGTACAACGACTTGGTCTACATCTTGCAACGAATATAAACGCTGATAATAAGACATCGCCAGTTTCTCAAGCTCCGGAGTATCTGAAATCCAAGCACCAGCATCATCCTTAAGCATCTCAATTCGGTTGCGCCTGCGCCGAATAATAGTAGAGGTGTGGAAGAAGGTGGTGTTACGGTCACCGTGAGCCACCCATTTCTCCCTCGACTTCTGTGCCCAGATCATCTCTTCTTGTTCCAACAGTGTATCAAACTCCTTCAATAGGTCAGCCTCCCGCTGTAAGAGCTCGTCTGAGCACATATTCTCCAATTCGACCTGCACCTCCTGGAGCTCCTTAACCAACTTTTCTTTGCGCTTCCGGACATCCCCAAACACATCTCTGTTCCATTTTTTAAGCACGTCTTGCAGCTTACTTAGCGCTCTCTGCGTATCAAGCGTTGCATCCCATGACGCCGAGATAAGCTCTTTAAAACTGGAATGGCTCAGCCATGCCGCTTCAAACCTGAAGGGTCGTCTTCTCGCATCCCCATGAACTTCCGGCACAAACTGTAAGTATAAGGCTGCGTGGTCTGAAGAAAGAAAGGGTAGATGGGTCACCGTTGCTTCCTGCCACTTCAATCGCGATTGAGCACAACACAGAACTCTATCCAGTCTCTTTGCCACAAAGAATCTTTCTTCTTTACCTCTTTTCCAAGTATACTGATTCCCCTTAAAACCCATGTCAATGAGGGACAACTCGTTAATCCAATCCCCAAACGCTAAAGAATCCGGCGATAGACGACCATTACCTCCGGTTCTCTCGTCAATTCTTACTATCGTGTTAAAGTCACCACCGACAATGATCGGCTCACTCACCCCTTGGATTAGATCCCGCAGTTGACCCCAGAGTCCGGCTCTCCGGCTTACAGATGGAGCCGCATAAACCGCGACAAAGTGAACCACCTCCGACTCTTTCGTCACCTTCACATGAATGAACTGAGATTCCGACCCGAAAACCTCAACTTCTCCAATCCCTTGTCTCCACAATAGCCATAACCCACCACTATGTCCCTCTGCCAGTTTTTCTAATTGGCCAGTTTTTCACGAATTTAATATCATCCGTATATATTGTTGAGAAATACTTGATTAATGAAAATTTTATTTTTTAGACCAAAATGTAAATTGTTGATGAAACAAATCTTAAAAACTGAGGATAAACGGATGCAACATGGAAAGTAAAAGAAAATTTACACCTCTTTTTTTTGTGCAATCTGAGAGCACTTCGAATTTCTTTTAATAAATTTTACACAAGTTTTCAAATACTTTAAAAAAACCATTAAGACCCTAAATCACACATGTCTAGTTCAAATTTTGTAATAACTTAAAATTTCGTTATCTAAAGTAAAATTTATAAAGTAAAATTTACTTAAGGTTTATAAAGTAAAATCTAGCCAATATTATAATAGCTTAAAAACGTTATTGTCAATGTTCAAATGATCAAGACTATTATCAAAATCCCCAATTAAACAATAATATTTTTAGCTCTAAACAAATGGCTTATGCACAACACACAAAAGGTACAAGGAAGCCATAGGGGTTCTTGTGAAATGTGAATACCACCTTCCAGCTATAACCAAATGCCATAATTAAGGCCTTTCAAGAACCGGGTCTTGATAAACTTTCGTTTTATCCTATTGGACCGTTAGGTCAGCGAGAAGGTGGCAAGATGTAAGATTCTGAATGTTACCGCTCGGTTCGGTTTTGTATGTGTCATTTGGTAGTGGTGGTACACTCTCATCTGAGCAGCTCAATGAACTTGCTCTCGGTCTTGTGAACAGTAACAAACGTTTTCTTTGGGTCATAAGGAGTCGGAGGCGACGCTAGTTCTTCCTTTTAGGCTTTTAACCACAAATTTTTTAAACGAACAAAAGGTAGAGGTTTTGTAATCCCTTATTGGGCTCCGCAAGCCCAAATATTAGCTTATCCATCTACGGGAGGATTTTTGAGTCATTGTGGATGGAATTCGACTATGAAAAGTATAGTAAACGGCGTTCCACTTCATAGCATGGCCATTATACACTTGAGCAAAAGATGAATGCGATCTTGTTGGCAATGGGGTGGTGAGAAGAGAAGAGGTAGCTAGAGTGGTGAAAGGACACATCACACATGGAAGGTGAAGAAGGTAAAAGAGTGAGGAATAAGATGAAGAAAATGAAACAAGAGCTTGTAGGGTGATGCAAGATGATGGGTCCTTTTACAAAGATCCATCATCTTGTGATTAATCTTCTATCATGCATGTTGGTGTCGTATTTTATATCATATGGATATTAACTACCTGTAATATTATACGTATCCGCTGGGAGCTGAGCTAATGAAACTACCGACACCCATGATTATATCAAAGTATTTGAGTACATAATATCACAAATTTTGTTTAACCTAACCAAGAAATATTTGTTTGTTGGATAACTTTTGATATTTTGAAAATATTTGATCTACGCGAATTAACCTAAAGAAATTGGCTCAATCTATTATCTATGTACGGATAGCAATATGGTTACTATATTGATTCTCCTGCCTCTGGATTTCACGTGTGGTTAGAGGTGAAGAGCTTTCATTTGGAGTCCATATTTGGTTAACTTGGGAACCAACGAGACTGAAGCATTGCGTATCCTCATGGAAGCGTCTTCTAACTATAGCAAAGCGGTCCAAAGCCTTACCAATCTCAGCCTCGTTCAAGTCCTTGTACCTTACGTAGAAAATCGCATTTAAGGCATTGAGTCCCTCATCTTTCGCATCCATGGCCACCTTAACAATCTCCAACTTGGGAGGACCAAAATCCTTACCTTCGCTGTTCGTAACTATGGCAATAGCAAGTTCAATATACAGAAGAATCCAGTCATTGTCTTGCAGCTCTGATTCCTTCACCTGAACCAAAACATATACATGCATCACTACTTTGTTGGATTAACTAACAAGACCATTATTGGTGTGTGCCCTAATCTTATTCTTACTTACGAGGTAATATTTTTGAAAAGGATTCTCTGCCGGCCACTCAGGCAAGCTACTATCTACAAAAGACGCTCCTCTGCCACTGGTTTGTCCCCTAAATCAGCAAATTGAGTTTAGAGACATGGTTTCCTTTGTAAACAAATGAACAAACCATATATATCAGATAGTGTTTACCTCGAATTCTGGCAATATTGCACATGAGAATATATCTGCCAAAACTTTGCTCTGATACTTCAGTCTGAAAAGTTTGAAGCGAGGAGCCAACAGCTGGATCAATTGCATCCAGAGTTATGTAGTAACAGCAAGCACAAGTACCCTTTGATTGTACGTATTTCGTTACGCCACTCAGCTCAAACTTTGTACCCTGAAGAAAGAAACGAAAGAGCATAATCGAATGTTACATGATAACTAAAGCATGTGGATATAAAGAAAAACAAGAGCTTTCATTAGACCTCCAGCAAATTGTAGCGATGAAGGCCCATCCTAGCGTATAGCAAGACTAAGCCAGGACAAGGACGCCCTTCATTACATATCTCTTGCTCGAAATCGATCGTAGAACCCGGGATATCGAACACCTAAACAAGATAGATTTGTAAATTGTAATGGATCAATCAATCTCATAATTAAAAGCAAGGAGGATGAAAGAATAACACATACACCGTATTCCTTCACAAGTTTCCAAGAAGCAGCCCTCTGCGATTATATTCATCAGTACCGTAGGGTCCGATCAGCATTATTATCGTCTCCCCCTCCTCAAACGATTTAGGTTTAGGTTTGTCGATTTAAGCCCTAAACCCTAAACCCCTCATTTTATGTTTAGCTTTTCGTCGATCTATGTATGTTACGATTTCTCTCTCGCGAGTATATATATATATATATGACTTATCCATCAATCGGTTGGGCCCCTTCACAACCCAATATCTCGTTCGTTTTGCTTTTTTCTCTTTCTAATACATTTTCCTCAAAACAAAACAGAACTATGTGGTGTTAGTTCCCAAAGTTGTGTATTCAGTACCAATCTTATTTTCTTGTTTCAAAATTGGAATTTTGTTTTTTTAGCAGAAAAAAAAATATGGCACAACAAGATAGTTGCTTTATTTTACCTATAATTAATATTGGTCTTTGTCCTACGTTATACCTTTTTAGCAACTGTTGTACGATATCCCAAAATACCCTATATGAGGGTTCAATAGTCCAACGGCTTCATGTGACCAAGGCTATTAGCAAAGTATCATGTTAACTCTTGTGTCTCATATGAATTAGTTTCCCCTAGAAACCATATTATATTTTATAGAAGGAAATTGAGTAAATGGGGATCAAGGATATACCAATTTGATTCTCGCAGATGCTCTCATTATTACTTCTAAGCATCATTTACTGTAGCCATTCTCGTAAGATTTTCTCACAATCTACTTCATGAAAAGAATATACCTTGTCTTAAAACAGATAAAAAGAAGAGATAACAAGAATACCTTCTCAAGAAGTCGTGTTATTCCTTTTGGCATTTCTTTTATTGATACTCAAATAGCCAAAACCAGTCAATGTCAAAACAAAGATAACAAGAGCACCGGCCAAAAGTTCAAGCCCCAGAAAGAAGTAAAACAAAAACATAACCACGAAAAACAGTAATGCCAAAAGGCAAAACACGACTTGAAAAACAACTATAAATAGTACAAAAATCTTAGCAAAGGAGGTGATAAAATATATTTTGTTTAGTCTATTTTTGCCTTACCAAATCTTGCTTTCGAAGAGTGACCAACACGGCAACACCCTCGACCAAGTCTCTCAAACAGCTATCATCATCTTGTTATCCCTATCCACCTGAGCCTTTTGATCTCTTCCATGCTGCCTTCCATTCTTGGGCATCGGTCAGCTTTTTTAAACCAACTATTATTTTCTTGTTATCCCTGTCCGTTTGAGCCTTTGCTCTCTTCCATGCTGCCTTCCATTCTTGGGCATCAGTCATCTTTTTGAAACCAGCTATCATTTTCTTATTATCTCTATCCGTCCGAGCCTTTGCTCTCTTCCATGCTGCCTTCCATTCTTCGACATCGGTCATCTTTTTGAAACCAGCTATCATTTTCTTATTATCCCTATCCGTTCGAGCCTTTGCTCTCTCCCATGCTGCCTTCCATTCTTGGGCATCGGTCATCTTTTTTCAAATCAGCTATTATTTCCTTGTTATCCCTATCCATCCGAGCCTTTGCTCTCTTCCAAGCTGCCTTAAATCCTTGGACTTGAGTACCACCAACATTTGCTTTCTTAATCTCGTCATGCTTTTCCTCAGACCAGTCTATCTTGAAGCCCGCCTCTTTTATCTCAGTCTCCGATAAGCTATATGGAAATGCCATAAAGAAGAGGTTAATTAAGAAACACTTTTTTAGTTGTACCTATAATAAAATATCGACCTAAAACGAAGTTGTTTATTGAATCTACGGGATGAGTCAGTCAGTGAAGAATCAAAACACAACCGCACACACACATAAATAAATATACCTATACTTACCATATGTTTGTTGATGAATCTTTCTCCGAGTATCTATCAATCTCAGACAGTAAAGGCGTTTTCTCCTCCTCCATGTGTTTGAATACAGCTTTGATATCTCTCACACAATCTTGTATCTGATACTTTGCCCATAAACCGGGATATTTATAAACTTTCTTCAAAATCCTAATTAATAAGGAATTTATAAACCTGAAAAAAAAATTAAAAAAACACTAATCATCTATGAATTTATGGGCGTGTGTTCTACTTAGATGGGATCGTGAGCTAGTAATGTATTTAAGAATTCTATCAGGATAATGATTAAGTGATATGGATGAGAGTAAATAATTAGAGACCTCTCCTAAAGTCCTAAAATCTGAGGGATTGAGATTTAAAATATTTAAATGCTAACGATTGTTTTTTATATATAAAACAGACGTGTGTGACACGGTTTTGGTGCGTAGAGTTTGGTATCGTTCAGTGTATTCTTTTCTTGGTTCGGTTTGATTCAACTTAAATGCGATGAACTGCATGTTTGGTGTAGATACGAGCAATTGAGGTTTCAGAGAAAGCAAGACTTGTTCCAGTGATATGGTAGAAATCAAATTGGTAATTTTGAAGCCATTTTATATTGCATGCAAGTGAATAGGAGTTTTTTGTTTTATTATGCAGCAAGTTCCTAAGAACAGACGTAGGCCATCTATCTACAAAGGCGTAGTGATTAGTGATTTCACGTTTACTACATAAGATTCTCCTGCTGATTTGCAGCTTCAGGATTCCTCACGTGTGGCTAGAGGTGAAGAGCTTTCATTTGGGAGTCCACATTCGGTTCAACTTCAGAGCCAACGAGACTAAAGGATCCCTTTTCCTCATTGAAGCGTCTTCTAACAATAGCAAAACGGTCCAAAGCCTTACCAATCTGAGCCTCGTACAAGTCCTTGAACCTTAGGTAGAAAACCGCATTTAAGGCATCCGGTCCCTCCCCATTCGCATCCATGGCCACCTTCACAATCTCCAATTTGGGACCAAAATCCTCAGCTTTCCTGTCCCAATCGTTTGTGACAACAACAAGTTCCATATACAGACGAATCCACTCATTGTCTGGTTCCTTCACCTGAACCAAAACATATGCAAACATCACTAATTTGTTGGATTAACCATTATTCGTGTGTGCCCTAATCTTAATCTTCATCTTACTTACCAGGTAATATTTTTCAAAAGGATTCTCTGCCGGCCACTCAGGCAAGCTATGATCTAGCAAAATCTCTCCTCTGCCAGCGGAGGAGTCACCTAAATCAGCAATTAAGCTGAGTTGAGACATGGTTTCTTTTTTGTAAGAAAATGAACAAGTTAAGTATTTTATTAGAGATATCTTGGTCATCAAGGTATCTCTAATATATTTTACCTCGAATTCTTGCAATATTGGACGTGAGAATAAAACAGCCAAAAGATTCTTCGGTTACATGAGTCTGAAAAGTATGAAGCGAAGAAGAGCCAACGGCTGGATCCATAGCATCCAAAGTTATGTAGTAACTGCCAGCAGCAACGCCACCAGCCCGTGCGTTTACGTATTTCTGTACGCGACTCAGAGCAAGCTTGGTACCCTGAAGTGAGAAAAACCTTTTTTTTTTATATATCAGAAAGAGCATGTGATTGAATATAGAAACAAACAACAAACAAGTCCAAGAGCTTGTGACCTGCAGCAAATTGTAACGATGAAGGCCCATCCTAGCGTACAGCAAGACTATGATGGGACAAGGACTCGCTTCATCACATATATTTTCATGTGTTTCCATCGTCGAACCCTTGAGGTCGAACATCTAAGATCCCATTAATTAGCAGATAGGTTTTAGTGGATGATCAATTCGGAGACACATGATGGTGATGGATCAATCAATCGGATCAAGATGATAGAAAGAATTACATACCTTGTATTCCTCCACATGTTCCCAAGGGTCACCACCCCTCTTATTAGCAGCATTTAGTTTCCTCTGAGCTCTTCCGATCATGGCTATTATCGTCGATATAGGTTTAGGGTTTTGGTTTGTCGATTTAAGTTTTAAGGCGATGAATATGAATTATGATTATGCTTTTCGTCGTTTTAGGTTACGTCTCTCTCACGCGATTATATAGATCCTATAGTTATCCATCGGACCGAGTCATTTTTTGGGCTTCGGTTGGGCCCAATATCTCGGTCGTTTCGCCTTTTCTCTCTCTAATATCTAATTTTATTTTACTTAGCGTCAAATATCGGTTTGAGTCAAAGTCAAATCGCTCTCTTCTTGCCAACGTGGTCTGGATAACTACTGAACCAGTCGGGTTTTACATCAAAACTATACGGGTGTACAATAATCAATCTGGTTTGCCCTTCAGTTTCTGGTATACAATTAATCAAACTAAAAAAAAGCTCGATCTTAACAACGTCGATCATTGGCTTCTAGGTCTTAGAATCTGAATGCGTTATAATTAATTAGGTCTAGAATTGCTTGTTCATCGCTGTTGTTAATCATCTAATATATATGATGGCTTGATTCTTTCTCTTTATAATTTTAGTCCTTTACAATCGGAATTTGATCTGGAACCAAATACACAAAAGTTTCTTGTTAGATCTTGTTTCCTTCTTCATATTTGTGTTGATTTGTCTTCTCCAACAAGTATATATATACATACAGATAGGTTGGCTTTCTAATTGGAAACGCATAGTTCTTGTTACATTCCCCATTTAAAGAAAGCTGATTAGATTTTTGGATTTTATTTTTCAGGTTTATGAATTTTATATATATCAAATACAAGTTTGTGTGAGACAAAGCAAATGGAGGATCAAAAACGTACAACAAGTTTAACGCTTGAGATTGATAACTACTCGGAGAAAGATTCATCAGCAAAATTCTTAACACGGTAAATAGATATAAATTCAAAGTGTGCTTGTGTTTCTTCTTGACTCATCGGATAAATGCAATAAACATCTTATTTGTTATGATTCCATATATAGCTTTTCCGAGCCTGAGCTACACAATTTGACCGAGCGCAAAGAAGCAGGCTTCAAACTAGAGTGCTTGAAGGAGAAGCATGAAGAGATAAAGAAACCAACTGTTGATGATATTGGAGTCCAACAATGTGAGTTATCCTTCAGGGAAATAATAGTTGAACTGAGTAGAGAGACCAAGTTATTAGTAGCTGAGATGAAAAAGGCGACCACTGTCCAAGAAGGTGATCTATCCATCAAGGAAATAGTAGCTGAACTGAATAAGGACACCAAGTCAATGTTAGCTGAGCTGAAAAAGGACACCAAGGCTGTTAGAGACTGGCTTGGGGGTGTTGTTCACTCGTGTAAAATACGAGTTGGGTTTGCTGACGTTGGTAAGCCAAAAATAGATTAAACAAAAAATACATTTTATCACACTGTTTCCCTTGGATTATATTGTTTGGATCATACTGTTAGATAGTAGTATTAAAAAAATCCAATCTATACCGTTGTTTGGTTTTCTTATTATGTGAAGTTTGATTACGAACTTTTTCTAATGACAATTATGACTTCTCATCTATTTAAACTCTTTTCTTTTTCAGTAATCTTTTATTATTTTTGCTGAATTTGTACACTTCCTCTTATTGTTATAGACTAGTTCTGCACGTTTTTTTTAGTGGGCACTATATGACAAACAGAGTGTACACCCATGGGTCCAGTATCGATAGCAAACAAGATAGATAATATGTTCTTAACGGGTCTCGTGGTCCGTTCATTTCTCCTTACAAAAGTAGAGAAAGAACAAAATCACAACTAGAACTAGTATCGAGCATGAGAAAGCAGGGGAGAAAAAAACGAGCCACACTGTCCAATAATCAACAGTATCAAATACTGAAACCAAAGCAAAAAAGTTATATTATTTCCTTAGATATAAAAATTAAAACAACTAATCGACCTAACAAAAAAAAAAAGCCTCACGATTCACAAACATAACATTGAAACCCCCCAAATATTATAATATGTGCTGCTTTTTGCTACACAAGTTCCAGTTTAGAGGAATGGTTTGAGATTGTTGTATCGGAGGGCAGTGGAGTCTGTGGAGATACTCAGATACAACCAAATATGAGATAAGAAGCGTGAGGACCAAAAGCTATGCATGTGCTTCACATAAATAATAGCTAAACAAATCTGTACTTATTCCTTAAATTGGAAAGACAAAAGGACAAGGAGACCATGTAGAATCGAAACCATGGAGACGTTTCCACCGAGTTTCCAAATAGAGAATTTCAAGAGACTTGTTTCCATGCGTTTCCGTCGCGTTTCCATCTTGTTCCGTTTCCGAAACGTTTCGAGTTGAAACGCCAAGTGATTAGAGTTTCCTTGCAACGTAGAATCACAAAATTAATTATCTATACAATTTCTAGATTCCTTATTCTCGAATCTCTCTTTTTATTCCTTAAGCAGTAAAATACGCATAACCTAACAAATATATGCAGTGTAACCATTGGCGTAAGGGATTTGGAATCACTAGATGAGAACATAAACAAGATGGATGAAATACATAACGTTGAAACCCCCAAGAATAAGATATCGAAAATATGTGTTGCTTGCTTGTTGAGAATATTGTTGTATCGAATGGCAGTCGCGAGATACAACCAAAGATGATAAAAGGCGTGAGGACCATAAGCAAATGCATGTGCATAAAGAAATAGTGAAAAAAAATATATATATACTTATTCTTTTTTGTTTTTGGGTGCAAATCCTTACTTATTCCTTAAATAGAAACTATACGTGTTAGATTATACTAGTTTTCAACTAAAATGAATTTCACATGTAATGATTTAACAAAAGAATATTACTTTTCCTCGTACTTGATTTTTTTAATCTAATATAAGAGAATCATGCCAAAACCAAAATTATACTTTAGCGTGTATAGTATGACGTGTACAAGTATTAAGTATTTACAAACTTAAAAGAAAATAAAAAAGCGAAAATCATCTGCTTCTTCTTGAATCTTGACCACAAAGATCCTGTGCGTTTTTCATCTCAAACCTAATCATCATCATCATCTCTCAAGCCTAAATATAAAACCATTCAATACGCCAACCAGCGAACACAGATTCACTATTCTCTTCTTCTTCAATGGAACAGCAATTAACATTGTTACTGCCTAATAGCCCAAAAGGCGCCAACAATCTCGAAATCATAGAATACTCTTCTCTTCCCTCTTCCTCCTCCTCCTCCTCCTCCTCCTCTTCCTCCTCCTCCACCTCCTCTCATAGCCATCGACCCTTCGTCAAATTCTTCGTTTACTTCGTTCTCATCTTTTTCGCTTACTATTTCATCATCTCCAGTTTCACCATTTCTCCAACTTCCCCAAATTCGCCAGACTCTGCTTCCGGAAACGGTAATTCTTGTTTCCCAGCTTCAATTTCCAGTGAATTATGGACTCTGGAGAAGATAACGAATTAACGAACAAAGAATTATGAAAACATGAGAAGAATTACGTAGTTTTAGGGTTTTTTTGGTGTTTAATTTTGGAAATAAACTTCTAATTTAGGGTTACGTTGTTGTGTTTACAATGTGTTTGATCAAATGCCTGTGTGAACATTGTTCGCAGTTTCATCAGCAAAGTGTGATCTTTTCACTGGAGATTGGATTCCAGATCCATCAGGTCCTCTCTACACAAACCTCTCATGTCACCACATCCAAGATTTCCAGAACTGTCTCATGAATGGACGGCCAGATGTGAACTATCTCTTCTGGAGATGGAAGCCTCGCGACTGTGATCTTCCTAGGTTCACTCCATCGCAGTTTCTCCACACAGTGAGGAACAAATGGTTAGCTCTCATCGGCGATTCCATCGCTCGTAACCACGTCCAGTCTCTCATCTGCATCCTCTCTCAGGTTCTGTATCAATCAAACGTTTCCTTACACTCCAAGAAATCTACTACTTAACGGTTTTGATTCTTTCTTTGAGTTTGCAGGTAGAAGAAGTGGTTGAGATCTATCACGATAAAGAGTTTAGATCCAAGATTTGGAGATTCCCTTCTCACAACTTCACACTCTCTGTCGTTTGGTCTCCGTTTCTTCTCAGATCAGAAACGCTTGGAAGCTCCGATATCCAGCTTTACCTAGACCAGCTCGACCGCAAATGGACCGACCAATATGCGAAATTCGATTATGTTGTCATCTCTGGAGGCAAATGGTTCCTCAAAACCACCATCTTCCATGAGAACAACACAGTCACAGGCTGCCATTACTGCCAAGGCCAGAACAACCTCACCGATCTCGGCTACGATTACTCCTACCGCAAAACCCTAACCCTTCTCCGTGACTTCGTCCTTAGCTCGCCGCACAAACCGATGGTTCTGTTCCGGACCACGACACCTGACCATTTCGAAAACGGAGAGTGGAACACCGGTGGGTACTGCAACAGAACGATGCCGTTTAAACAAGACGAGGCCAAGTTGAAAACCGTTGATGATGTGATGCGTGAGGTTGAGCTTGACGTGTTTGAGAAGTTAGGTGAAGGAGGTTTCGGTTTAGGTTCGAATTTGAGACTGTTAGACACGACGGCGATGTCTCTTCTCCGACCAGACGGCCATCCGGGACCGTACCGGCATCCGAATCCTTTTGATGGAGTGAAGGATAAGAGCTCTGTTCAGAATGATTGTCTGCATTGGTGCTTACCCGGTCCAATCGATTCGTGGAATGATATTGTGGTGGAAACCATTCTTAACCGGGAACGGTATGAAAGCAAACCAAATGTCGAAAAGTAGCCTCTACGATTGAAAACCGTTTGTAGCCAATCATCTTCCAGCTAGCTATTTCTGTATATTGTAATTTTGTAACGGTCTTCAGTATTAAATAATACGGTGCGTGTCTGGTCGCAGTGTAATATTAAAATTTTCATTCATACGACGACGTTTTATTGCGGTGGGCTCAAGGTCTTTAAAAAGCCAACCTATTGGGCCTTCCATTAAGATGCCGTTTTGTAGTATTCCCGGTTCCGTTAAAAAACACCATGCCATTCAATTTCTT